GATAGGGGTAACTCTATTGGGTTTAGTGACTTATATTACGGAGGAAGGAAGGTTGGGATAGGGGTAACTCTATTGGGTTTAGTGACTTTTATTACGGAGAAAGGAAGGGTGGGATAGGGGTAACTCTATTGGGTTTAGTGACTTTTATTACGGAGAAAGGAAGGTTGGGATAGGGGTAACTCTATTGGGTATAGTGACTTATATTACGGAGGAAGGAAGGTTGGGATAGGGGTAACTCTATTGGGTTTAGTGACTTTTATGACTAAGGAAGGAAGGGTGGGATAGGGGTAACTCTATTGGGTTTAGTGACTTTTATGACTAAGGAAGGAAGGGTGGGATAGGGGTACCTCTATTGGGTTTAGTGACTTATATGCTTAAGGAAGGAAGGGTGGGATAGGGGTAACTCTATTGGGTTTAGTGACTTTTATGACTAAGGAAGGAAGGGTGGGATAGGGGTAACTCTATTGGGTTTAATGACTTTTATTACGGAGAAAGGAAGGGTGGGATAGGGGTAATTCTATTGGGTTAAGTGACTTATATTAATGAGGAAGGAAGGGTGGGATAGGGGTAACTCTATTGGGTTTAGTGACTTTTATTACGGAGAAAGGAAGGATGGGATAGGGGTAACTCTATTGGGTTAAGTGACTTTTATGACTAAGGAAGGAAGGGTGGGATAGGGGTAACTCTATTGGGTTTAGTGACTTTTATGACTGAGGAAGGAAGGGTGGGATAGGGGTAACTCTATTGGGTTTAGTGACTTATATGCTTAAGGAAGGAAGGTTGGGATAGGGGTAACTCTATTGGGTATAGTAACTTATATTACGGAGGAAGGAAGGTTGGGATAGGGGTAACTCTATTGGGTTTAGTGACTTTTATGACTAAGGAAGGAAGGGTGGGATAGGGGTAACTCTATTGGGTTTAGTGACTTTTATTACGGAGAAAGGAAGGGTGGGATAGGGGTAACTCTATTGGGTTTAGTGACTTTTATTACGGAGAAAGGAAGGGTGGGATAGGGGTAACTCTATTGGGTTTAGTGACTTTTATTAAGGAAGGAAGGGTGGGACTAAGAGGAAGGAAGGGTGGGATATTGGGGTAATCTATTGGGTTTAGTGACTTTGATGACTTAGGAAGGAAGGGTGGGATAGGGGTAACTCTATTGGGTTTAGTGACTTTTATGACTAAGGAAGGAAGGGTGGGATAGGGGTAACTCTATTGGGTTTAGTGACTTTGATGACTAAGGAAGGAAGGGTGGGATAGGGGTAACTCTATTGGGTTTAGTGACTTTTATGACTGAGAAAGGAAGGGTGGGATAGGGGTAAATCTATTGGGTTTAGTGATTTTTATGACTAAGGAAGGAAGGGTGGGATAGGGGTAACTCTATTGGGTTAAGTGACTTTTATGACTAAGGAAGGAAGGGTGGGATAGGGGTAACTCTATTGGGTTTAGTGACTTTTATGACTAAGAAAGGAAGGGTGGGATAGGGGTAACTCTGGAGAGAATTGGGTTCACAAACAGAAGTGTGTTTCATTTCTTCGGTTGTACTTTGTAAACAGTAGATATAGACTAAATCACTGAGGGACACTCCCACTAGCCAATAACAGATCCCTTTTATAACAGTAAACATGTATTAACAATAACAGATCCCTTTTATAACTGTAAACATGTATTAACAATAACAGATCCCTTTTATAACAGTAAACATGTATTAACAATAACAGATCCCTTTTATAACTGTAAACATGTATTAACAATAACAGATCCCTTTTATAACTGTAAACATGTATTAACAATAACGGAAGTTTTCAAAATCATTATACCTTGATATGAAAGTTCCTACAACATCATGCTGAAAGGTGATTGGAACAGTTGACACCCAATGTCATTTAACGTTGGATAGGAGACAGAGTAACTTCACAGGAAATGGTAAATGTACCTCCCATCGGGTTCAACTCATAGTTAACACGGTGAACGTAAATCATCACCACAAGAGGTCACATCAGCACCAGGTGATAACACACCAACATCACCAAAGTTTACGATATAGAACTACTTTCCAATCACCTTACCCCTATACGTATGTTCGCATCTATGAACAAACAAATGACTATGTTTGGAATTGTCACTAACTAATACCATATAATTGCTGTCATATTGATTGCTGGAGAAAATATTACAGTTTGCTCTTGAGTTGTATCGAATGAAATTCAGACTGGCAATGATACGCGTGTATATCAAGGGTCCTAGATTTTACGACCACGTGTGAAAAAAAGTTGTCAAGACAACTGAGATGTTTGTGAAGCGAAGGAGGCGTTATTGAATAAAAGCAACTGGCATACTACGTGTTTTGAAATCAACGTTTGTTCAGGGTCAAAATGCCGTGAAATGCCAGCAGGAATTAATTAATTTTGATACCGTTTGATAATCTCTCCACAATTTCCAAACAATAATTTTATATCCAAACAGGACATAAAAAGCAGTGTTAACGATACAATTCCAGTTGGCGAGAAAGCCGTTTAGTTACGTAGTGTTTGTTACGCCACAAAGCTGAATTCCATATCAAGATATTGGTAGTTTAAGCCTTGTTTCAGGAGACTTTAAACTTAGGTGGGAAAGAAAACTGTTCAGACTAGGAAACCACAGCAGCGTATCCAAACAAAATCAGGCGATAGCTTGGTAACACTTCATCAAACTACATCGTCTTTACACAGAAATCACTTCAAAATGTAATTGTTCTTTTTCGTGTCAAATAATCAAATGTGTTTTAATTAGGTGTTAAACAGACTTTATGAAAAAGAAATAAACCCATCAAGGTTTTCGGCAAAGTCTTAAATACTGTAAAAGACAAACAGATCTGGAAAAAACCTTATACGCAATCTCTTGCAAATGCCATGGGTGAATGAATCATACGTGGTAACTATAGTATCGTCTTCACTGTCACGAGACTGCAATTTCTTCCTAGGCTGAACAAGACACTACTCTGTAAAAATCTACTAAGGAATGTTATCCTCACCTCAATGTCGGGCGGCAAACTACACGTGTAAAATTGAGAATGTTTTTATACATGTTAAATGAATGTTCTTTCTATCGAACATGTTCAAATTCTCTTACAGGTTATTATCTCTCAAACAGTTTTTGACACATGTAATGAACGCGCCTGAAGTGCTCAGATGAGGATATTTGGTGTGTAACAAAGTGTTAAGTGGTACATGTAATTATGTTAATGTACATCTCACTGCGTTTTACACGAAAACAAATTAAAAATGATATCTCCAGTGCGTTGCTCTCTTCCCCGCGTCCTAGGGCCTAGTTAAAATATTGCTCATCCGGAGCTTCAATTCCTTTCCCGAACGTCTCGCGTTTTTCCTTTTGAAATGTTGCCAGACTCCTGACAATCATGCGACCGCGGTGATAACGTTTTCGAACCTCACGTCAACACAACAGTGTAGTGTGAAGGTGTTCCGAATCTCCGTTTGCAAACCACCAGTCTGTGGTTAGTGAACGTCCCACGTCCGTTGTGCTGCACGATTACAATGATAACAGAAAGCGTTCTCCGGCGCCATCACTTAGTGTCACATTATCGTGTTTACGGGATACAAAGTGTGTTCCTCAGTGTTATAACGAGGCTAAGGTTAGGTTGCATTAATATATCGTTTTCCAAGACTTCGTTGTGTTTGTTCCAAGGTTCCGTTACAGAATGTCTACACTGTAGCAGGGATGTAATCTCTGGTCTAGAATATTCCGACCCTGTGGTAAATACTGTTAAGTTAATACAACGCGTTCTCGATCTCAATTCCCGAACGTCACGCCCTGAGTTTTTACCGGATACAATCTCCGTTCCGGGTTGTTCTGACTCCGCGATAACCGGACTGATACAGTTAATACATCGCGTCCCCGATCTCAATTCCCGAACGTCACGCCTTGAGCTTTTACAGGATACAATCTCCGTTCCGGGTTGTTCTGATTCCGCGATAACCGGACCGATACAGTTAATACTAAAACAACGCGTCCATGATCTCAATTCCCGAACGTCACGCCTTGAGCTTTTACAGGATACAATCTCCGTTCCGGGTTGTTCTGACTCCTCGGTAACCGGACTGTTACACTTAATACAACGCGTCCCCGATCTCAATTCCCGAACGTCACGCCCTGAGTTTTTACCGGATACAATCTCCGTTCCGGGCCGTTCTGATTCCACGGTAACCGAGCTGTTACACTTAATACAACGCGTTCCCGATCTCAATTCCCGAACGCCACGCCAAAAGCTTTTAAAGGTTGAAGTTTCCGTTCCGAATGATTATAAATTTACATTGTTTGTTTCAATGTTCCGTTCTTTACGGGATGCAATCTCCGTTTCTGAAAGTCCTGCGTCCAAACTGACGCGATGGAATCTGCGTTTTTCAACGTCCCACGATAGCGCAACTGCATGGTTACATGTTTACACACTCCGTAAAACTGGCATTAATCTTACTGGGAATACACAAACGTGCAATTGTACGAATACATTAGATGTTGATGAATTTAGGGAACGGAATGACACTGTGATGAAAACATATGTATAATGACCATTAGAACGTTTGTGTTTACCCAAGCAGATTAATGCCAGCTGCTCGAATATTACCATAAACCCAACTGACTGTGACACAAGTTAGCAGTGTAAACAAAATCGGCGAAAAAGCGGCGCAGTACCAGTCAATTAATTGGAACAGGTATACTCCTCCCTGGTTGGTTGAGAAAAGAGGAGTCAGGTTGCATGTTCATGTATTAAATCAATTTGTTGGGTATCTAAGAAAAAAGAACTCCCATACGAATCTGATAAACCAATTAGAACAAAATAAAAAATGATAAAAATCCTTACGACATCAAACTATAGTAATACTTGAGAATGATTAACTTAGCGTTAGAATCTTCATGTTTTCTTATTCTTTATCATTAGCTAATTCAAAATACAATAAATGAATCCGCTTTACAGTTATATTCTTTATTATAGCATCGTTTCTTTCCTAACGTTCTGTTCGAAAAAAACTTACCCTAGTACAAAACACAAGACTGGCGAGAAAACCAAGAATGGACAGTGCAGCCCTGAACAACACCCTCCTGCGGCTGAGTCGAGGGAAAGACGACTCCAGATAGGCACATACTGTTTCCGTAAAGGCAAACTGGAGAATAACAAATAGTGACTATTATAAGGCCATGTGTTCCTAGTCATTCTCTCAAAGTAAGTAATAATACACTTCCAAATGATCAGTCATACTAACGCAGTGATAACATTATCATTGATGTCTTGACCTGCTAAAGTACGAATTTCTGACTCATACGACCAGGATTTTCTATTTTCCGATCTAACATAAAACCAGTATTCAGCTTTTGCCAATGAACCCCCTCCATTTGATTGGTCGATCAATCCAGATCGAAAAAAAAATGTCGGTACTGGTATAGTGTAACCCTCTCACAGAGAGAAAGTCAGAAGGTGGAGAGAAAAGCGTTTCGCTTTCTATCCGGTATTAGGGTGTTGGGTTATATAAGCTCCAAAACTTCTCTCACTCCCGTACCTGTCCTGGTCCCAGGCTTCGTGACAACGGTTCGTATAATACGCTGTCTATGACTGAAGTGAGGAGCGATTTTGTCCCCTCATTTTTATAACAAATGTATACGTGACTGCCGAATTTGATGGATGACCGTGTTTGACCAAGGCTGTCAAACTATTACAAATTTTGAAACGTAACCCAGACATTCTGGAGCCAAAACAGTCTAATCCAAAATACAAAGCTTACAACTCGGCTATATGTTATGACATATGCCAAGGTCCAGTCTTCCAGTGTAAACAAAAGACTTTCGAAAAATTCCGCCACATAAACATTCGTCAGCATTTTAGGTCATTAACTTCGTGCAATTACTGCACCTGCACCAGCAACAACAGTATTGCGTAGTTAAGTGACCTTAATATCTGTACCTTGCATAGCACTAACAATATTATCACAACATGCATCGGTATCATGTATACTCTGTAACATCCTATATACACCTATACACAACAAATTACTAACATTATACTTACCATATAAACTATATATCTAACATGACCAATAACTAAACCTCTTACTTTTATCAAGTAAATATATCTCTCCTTAATTCAATACCATTATATCCATAACCAAGTAACACATTACCTAACGGTACATATATTAAATATATATAATCATTTCATCAAAGACCAATAATTGTTATAAACAAGGGCAAATCACCCAGTATGATAATCAAGGCAGATAACTCTGTATTTACCTAAAAACAAGGGTAAAATAAACCTTGCATAGGGTTACAGTAACCTAGCCGAGCGATTGTCACAATCACTCACCGTGACTGATATTTCACGCTTCTAACTGTTTAACTGGCATCTGCATTTCCATGCAACATCAACACCATACCATTCCGGATGGACGCTCTACTACGGTAGCCCAAAACAACCAACCGTAAGCGCACGTAGCGTTACCAAAATACTTACCAAATTGTCCGGAAAGAGTCGGATTGTGACAACTGGTTAAATGTTAACCCCAGGATCTGACGTCAGTGCGCACAGGGCCGTGTATAAAAAGTCTTTGATATAGATTTAACAATGTTTACATCTGTCCATTAGGTTTAAGACCACTTCTTTCTCTAAGCAGTATACAGGTAAGATGATTTTTTTCCCCACAGTATTTTTGGATGCGTTTGTCCTATGAAGTATTAATATATTTAATTTCCTTTTGGATTTGGTATAAGATACAATTGCAAATCTAACTGAAAACCCCCACTATTCTTTGGAACAGCATAAAGTTGAGTTACAGGTTATAGCAAACGTACCTGACTATCTAGCCCTACTGTAAAAAGGGCGAGGAAGAACAAAACGGCCCAGAGATTGGAGTAGGGCATCTGTGCCAAGGCTTGAGGGTAGGCAATAAAACCGAGACCTGGACCTGAAACAAGGGAGTACGATATTAATCAGTATTGTCCTGATGACCTCTCCACAAATGATCTCTGCACACAATCAACAACAGCTGTACTACTCACGGAAAAGATATCACGGCCTCTGTGAATAAGAAGAATAATTTGTACCCAACAAGCATTTTAATATCACAAAATACAAAGCTTGATGGTAGAAAACTAACCGACAAAGAGTCTTTGATCAGACAAATCCATGTTCCCACCACTTACCAGATTTCACAATGTCAGCGACAGGCATATTTGCGGAGTGTGCCATGAATCCTAGAGCAGAAAAAACGACCAATCCAGCAAAAACACTTGTACCTTCTCCGACCAACGTCAACAGGAAGGCATCACTGTCAATTAAATGTGAATTATGATAAGTATGATCAATAAGGCAATCTTTGTAATTAACTCTGTTATCTCTGTAGTTCTCATTAAACACCTATAATACAGTCTCTCTTCCAGTCGTAGTGATATGACGGAATGAGTAAGCGTGACGTCACCGCATCACACACTGGGCTTGAATTTTGCGCGTTTTAAAATGCCTCCGCGAAATGAAGTACGTTTGAAAAATGGTCCGTATTTCATTCTTTGTCAAACTTTTGATATCTTCGCTCACGATATCTCAATAGAAGAAACAATGAACATTTGTTTTGTGTTTAATAAATAGATGTAAAGTATGAAATTATGTTTGTTTGTTGCTGTGGTGCCAGAAAGACTGAAACACTGAATGTTCATGACGGTACAATTACATACATAAATTAAAAAAAATTTGTGTCCATCAAATTTGGAATCGATAAAAACGTTACTGTATTCAAGAAAAAACTGTAAATATCCGAAACAATGACCTGGTCATACAACTAGTGTCCAGCAATATACGCAGAAAGCAACATCGCGTTAACAAATCATTGCTATATAATGAAGAAGAAGAAAGAGGAGGAGGAGGAGGAGGAGGAGGAGGAGGAGGAGGAGGAGGAGGAGGAGGAAGAGGATGAGGAGGAGGAGGATAGGAAGAAGAAGAAGACGAAGAAAGAGGAGGAGTAGTAGTAGAGGGAGGATAGGAAGAAGAAAAAGAAGAAGAAAGAGGAGGAGGAGTAGTAGTAGAAGGAGGATAGGAAGAAGAAGAAGAAGAAGAAGAAGAAGAAGAAGAAGAAGAAGAAGAAGAAGAAGAAGAAGAAGAAGAAGGAGGAGGAGGAGGAGGAGGAGGAGGAGGAGGACGAGGAGGAGGAGGACGAGGAAGAGAAGAAGAAGACGAAGAAGAAGAAGGAGGAGGACGAGGAAGAGAAGAAGAAGACGAAGAAGAAGAAGAAGACGAAGAAGAAGAAGAAGAAGAAGAAGAAGAAGAAGAAGAAGAAGAAGAAGAAGAAGAAGAAGAAGAAGAAGAAGAAGAAGAAGAAATGAAATTACACGAAAAGCAAACCGGGATAAGATATTTATATATATATTAGAAATATGAGCCATATTCAATATGGTCTGTCCGATGTTAAGTTAACACGAATCAACTTACGTGTAGCAGTTATTGTTGAATTTGTTGAAGCTGGATAAAGTGATGTGGATACCCCACCCAATACCCATGGAGTAGAACACCTGAATAGCCGCCTGTATCCACACCTACAAGAAATGGGAATATTCAATTTCGTGTTCGACAAGAATAGGTTTCTTTCTTATAAGTGTTATTTCGGGCTAATTTCAGAAATTTTCACCAATACGTCTTACAAAAATAAGAAAATATCACCATGTCAATATAATTAAAATCCAAACTTCAATAGAACTAAAACAAAATTTGAAAAAACGAAACATTTACAAGGCGACTCCAGAAAACGTACAAGAATAATAAGACCAAATGTTTCAGAAGAGTAAGCGTTATATGCTTCACCCGCTTTGTAAATATTGGTCAATCCGAATTAGTAATGCCACGTTTTCAAATGAGAAATGAAAAACCAAATGATTGTGACCATTTCTAGTAACGTATCAAGTTGTTAATCTGATCATACAAGCTTTGATAAAGAAACTCTCGATCAACTTCTATCACAGTATCTACGTAGCAGTACACAGTTTCTCGGTGTGGCCATGGGTGATATTTTTGTTCATTAGATTATCCCATTATAAAGGTTTTAATCAAAATTTGAAAAATAAATCATTGCTAAAATTGGTACTTTCATGTTGAAGTGGGCAATATGGAGTTTCATATTTTCCAGAATAATGTTTTTGCATTGTGTTGAAGATAAGTTTTTGGACATTCTTGAATCTATGTCTACACACCAGAAACTAGCTTTACAGGAAGAGAAATTTTCATATTGTTTACATGTGGTCTTGTTGTGAAGGTGTTCGAGTTGGAATTGCTGGTAATTTGTTACCATGACAGTGTTGATTTTCAGACATGTGTTCAGAAATAAATTCTTCTGTAAAGTTGTAGTGTTAGGTTGGAATAAGTAGTATTTTTGCATTTTCACCATTGTTTAAGTTGGTTGCCATGGCAATCATATGTCAGAAATCAGAGGAAATTTTTGATTTACACAATTTGTATCTCTACTATAAATGTAATTGTAATGTAGTCTATAGATATATATGCATGTAAGGATGGATTTTCATAACCAATCTGCTATACCTGTATATCTCAAACATGACAAATAATTTCAGGGAAAAGCAAATTAACTGTTTGGTGATAATTAGTGGCATTGTATAATGATATTCAGTGGTATTTTGTGGTAGTATATAGTGGTATTATATAGTAATATTTAGTGGTATTATATAATGGTGTTCAGTGGTATTTCATGGTAGTATATAGTGGTATTAAGCGGTATTATGTAGTGATATTTAGCGGTCTTTACATGTATCACAAGCTTTTGTAATCACAGTGTTTACCTGAACATTGAGCAGTGAAGGAAAGTGTGGCTTAATGAAAAATACGACACCGTCAATAGATCCGGGAAGAGTGAGACTTCGAATGAGGATGACAGTGAGCAGGATGTATGGAAGCGTGGCCGTCACATACACCACCTGTAACAGGAAAAATATCAAATAACGATCACTAGTAGGTATGGAAGCGTGGTCGTCACATATACCACATGTAACAGGAAAAAATCAGATCACGATCACTAGTAGGTATGGAAGCGTGGTCGTCACATATATCACCTGTATAGGAAAAAATCAAATAACGATCACTAGTAGGTATGGAAGCGTGGTCGTCACATATACCACCTGTATAGGAAAAAATCAAATAACGATCACTAGTAGGTATGGAAGCGTGGCAGCCACATATACCACCTGTAACAAGAAAAAATCAGATAAAATAGTTTTAGTAGGTATGGAAGCGTGGCCGTCACATATACCACATGTAACAAGTAAAAATAAGATAAAATAGTTCTAGTAGGTATGGCTGCGTTAAATGATAGCGTCATATCGAACTGTCTAAAGGCCCTAATCCCGGTTCGATTCCTAACAGAAATATCCAATAAATATTGGTCTCTTGTGTACTTACATTTTCTGACTTACCAATGGTAAGTACTTAAACACATTTCTAACGATGAAAAGTTTACCGAATTTTAAGGCCTACGGTAGGTGTGCCTTACCTTGCCTGTAGACTTGATTCCCTTGATGACACAGAAGTAGACCACAGTCCAGGTAATCAGTAGACAAATTACGAGGTGACTCTTGAAAGAAGCGAAGTCATAAAATCCGCCGGAAATGTCCAATACTTTGTACCTGAGTCAAGTGCACAACTTATTATCCAGTAACGTACGCTATTTTCGATACTTGATTACTTGATATATATATACCACCATCTAAATGAGTGAAAACTTGTCGGAAAAACTTGACTTTTAAGAAGACATTTAATTCAGATAAGACGTTTGACACTGACATGAAATGATTTATTGCACCAGTAAGATTCATTAACACAGGTAAATACAAAGATTTACAGATAACGACACGAACCCTAGTTGAAACTCTGAGAGATAAAGTGCCAAACATAAGTTTAAGGCCCTGGGACGTTAAAACAACGGTAGATGTAGGCTACAATGATGTAAGGATTAACACATGAACGACTGGCTAGTGGTCGAAAAGGAAAGGGGAAGGGAGGTGGGTGGGGTTGGGAGAGAGAGTGTGTGGGGGGGGGGGGGGGGGGGGGGGGGGGGGGGGGGGCAGGCTATGGTGTAGAGAGGTGATATCGACGTCTGGGGAGGAGAGTTGGTAATGATGTAGAGAATTGATATCGGTGTCTGGGGAGGAGGGAAGGCTGTGGTGTAGAGAAGTGATATCGGAATCTGGGGAGGAGGGAAGGCTGTGGTGTAGAGGAATGATATCGGTGTCTGGGGAGGAGGGAAGGCTGTGGTGTAGAGAAGTGATATCGGTGTCTGGGGAGGAGGGAAGGCTGTGGTGTAGAGAAGTGATATCGGTGTCTGGGGAGGAGGGAAGGCTGTGGTGTAGAGACATGATATCGGTGTCTGGGGAGGAGGGAAGGCTGTGGTGTAGAGAAGTGATATCGGTGTCTGGGGAGGAGGGAAGGCTGTGGTGTAGAGACGTGATATCGACGTCTAGGGAGGAGGGAAGGCTGTGGTGTAGAGACATGATATCGGTGTCTGGGGAGGAGGGAAGGCTGTGGTGTAGAGAAGTGATATCGGTGTCTGGGGAGGAGGGAAGGCTGTGGTGTAGAGATGTGATATCGACGTCTAGGGAGGAGGGAAGGCTGTGGTGTAGAGAAATGATATCGGTGTCTGTGGAGGAGGGAAGGCTGTGGTGTAGAGAAGTGATATCGGAATTTGGGGAGGAGGAAAGGCTGTGGTGTAGAGAAATGATATCGACGTCTAGGGAGGAGGGAAAGCTGTGGTGTAGAGAAATGATATCGATGTCTGGGGAGGAGGGAAGGCTGTGGTGTAGAGAAGTGATATCGGAATTTGGGGAGGAGGGAAGGCTGTGGTGTAGAGAAGTGATATCGGAATCTGGGGAGGAGGGAAGGCTGTGGTGTAGAGAAATGATATCGGTGTCTGGGGAGGAGGGAAGGCTGTGGTGTAGAGAAGTGATATCGTTGTCTGGGGAGGAGGGAAGGCTGTGGTGTAGAGACATGATATCGGTGTCTGGGGAGGAGGGAAGGCTGTGGTGTAGAGAAGTGATATCGGTGTCTGGGGAGGAGGGAAGGCTGTGGTGTAGAGAAATGATATCGACGTCTGGGGAGGAGGGAAGGCTGTGGTGTAGAGAAATGATATCGGTGTCTGGGGAGGAGGGAAGGCTGTGGTGTAGAGAAATGATATCGACGTCTGGGGAGGAGGGAAGGCTGTGGTGTAGAGAAATGATATCGGTGTCTGGGGAGGAGGGATGTAAGATACTGAAACTATGAAACATTGAATGTTTGAAAAAAATACACACCCTCAACAAGAGGTGCGAAGAAGTTTTTTAGAGAATATTTTTTCGACTTACTGCCAGAATTCTTCCTCAGAGCTGTGTCCTTCCAAAAATATAAAACCCGTTTGATTGTCTCTGGTTATGTTTGTCGTATTGTAGTATGACGTAGCATTGAGGAGAGCTCCACTGATCAGACTAGAATTGTTGTTCAGTGAGGTGTTCGATGATCTCTTGTCCAAGAAACTGAAGCAGTCGGGAGTATTCCACTCGTTGCCGCACGTGCTCCATGGCAACGGGTACACAAAGGATTGGTACAGATAATAAACTACCCAGGTAGTTAGCATGACGTAGTACCAAACACAAAGTATCATCAGTAGGAGTAGTCCAAAACCCATACCTGTAACAGTCAGGTAAAGCTATAACACCTAACTCACACCTGTAACAGTCAGGTAAAGATATAATACCTTACCCACACCTGTAACAGTCAGGTATTACAGTAACACCTAACCCACACCTGTAACAGTCAGGTATTACAGTAACACCTAACCCACACCTGTAACAGACAGGTAAAGCTATAACACCTAACCCACACCTGTAACAGACAGGTAAAGCTATAACACCTAACCCACACCTGTAACAGTCCGGTAAAGCTATAACACCTAACCCACACCTGTAACAGTCAGGTATTACAGTAACACCTAACCCACACCTGTAACAGTCAGGTATTACAGTAACACCTAACCCACACCTGTAACAGACAGGTAAAGCTATAACACCTAACCCACACCTGTAACAGTCAGGTATTACAGTAACACCTAACCCACACCTGTAACAGTCAGGTAAAGCTATAACACCTAACCCACACCTGTAACAGTCAGGTAAAGCTATAACACCTAACCCACACCTGTAACAGTCAGGTATTACAGTAACACCTAACCCACACCTGTAACAGTCAGGTAAAGCTATAACACCTAACCCATACCTGTAACAGTCAGGTATTACAGTAACACCTAACCCACACCTGTAACAGTCAGGTATTACAGTAACACCTAACCCACACCTGTAACAGACAGGTAAAGCTATAACACCTAACCCACACCTGTAACAGACAGGTAAAGCTATAACACCTAACCCACACCTGTAACAGACAGGTAAAGCTATAACACCTAACCCACACCTGTAACAGTCAGGTATTACAGTAACACCTAACCCACACCTGTAACAGTCAGGTAAAGCTATAACACCTAACCCATACCTGTAACAGTCAGGTATTACAGTAACACCTAACCCACACCTGTAACACTCAGGTATTGCAGTAACACCTAACCCACACCTGTAACAGACAGGTAAAGCTATAACACCTAACCCACACCTGTAACAGACAGGTAAAGCTATAACACCTAACCCACACCTGCAACAGACAGGTAAAGCTATAACACCTAACCCACACCTGTAACAGTCAGGTATTACAGTAACACCTAACCCACACCTGTAACAGTCAGGTATTACAGTAACACCTGACAGTTACGTAATTTTGTGGCCCGCACCCACATCATCAGTCACACACCTGTGTTTGTCAGGTAAAACTCTAACACCAAAATTGAAACACCTACCTTTTACCTGTTATTCTTACCTTGTATCAGAGGACAAAATATCCAAACGTCCCGCATTGTCCTACCGGAGAATTGTCCAAGGGCCGCCTCCATAAAATAAACCGGTATGGCAAGCAGGAAGATAGTGATAAGGTAAGGTAGCAGGAAGGCACCTGGTAGTAAAGGAAAAACCTCAATATATTACGGAGTATCATGGAAGCTCCCGAAAGTAACGATACAACTGTAATATATTACGTAGTATCAGGAAACCTCCCGAAAATAACGATACAACTATAATGTATTACGTAGTATCAGGAACCTCCCGAAAATAACGATACAACTATAATATATTATGAGATATCACGAAACCTCCCGGAAATAACGATACAACTATAATATATTACGTAGTATAAACCTCCCGGAAGTAACTATACACTTATAATATATTACGGAGTGTCATTAAAGCTCTCGGAAGTGAAGATACAACTATAATACATAACAGAGTATCAGGAATGCGCCCGGAAGTGACGATACAACTATAATATATTACGGAGTATCAAGAATGCGCCCGGAAGTAACGATACAACTATAACACATTACAGAGTATCAGGAAACCTGCCGGAAGTAACGGTACAATTATAATACTTTACGGCGTATCAGGAAAGCTCCCGGAAGTGAAGATACAACTATAATATATTACGGAGTATCAGGAACGCTCCCGGCATTGAAGATAAAGCTATAATATATTACGGATTATCAGGAAAGCTCCCGGAAGTGACGATACAATTATGATTTATTACGGATTTCTGTCACGCTTTGACCTTGAAGTTTTAAGTCATCGCGATGAGCGGTCCAGCGTTATTAATCAAGTCTGTGGACCTTAGAACTGGACAAACACTTTCATTTTCTGAATGGGTCCTCACTCAATGTTGAGTATATCTAGTCGTTTTCTTTCCTGTCTTTATCATATTTTCGTGTTAAGGCATGAAATATATTCACGTTTAATACTCTCTCTTTGTACTACAGGAAGTGAAATGCTTATCAGTCTGGCGATCGTTACTGTACAACCCCAATCTGAAATCAGTTCGATGTTAAAGAAGGCTGTTCTACGATACAGAGATAGTATTACGTTCCTTTGTCGGACCACACTACAACCAGCTATAGTTTCTTTCAAACATACAACGTTTAGAATATGCAGTCTAGTTTCTAACGCTCCCATTCACCAATGTTATCAGTAGGCCAAGCATATTTGGATTTTCGTCTTCAGTGCTGGACGTGTTTAGTATGTGTAATCGACAGTATGAAAGAAACTTAAATGGGTGCAGTGTTCCGAGAAAAGGATCTTGGTTTGCATAATTTGCATAATACTTAATTTATCTTACGTTAATGTTTATAGATAGAACTGAAGGATTGTGTGCAGCGAATGCAAATCTTTTTCGGAATTATTATGGCGGTAATGAAATTATTACACCTGCTTCAAAGAAAAAGTGGCAAGAGAAAGGTGATATGTTTGGATTGTGCGTGCTTGGGTACATTCAACGAGATTCTAAAATGTCTGTTTTCCTGGGTTTTTTTTCGACAGTCGTTATCAAATCAGCTGACGTTTTGTCACGCCAACATCTACACTAGAATCACTTTGATATACGCAGGGATGCGGTACAGCTCCTTATACGCCGTAGTTTCAATGAGTCAAACATCCTGTACATTTTGGGACCGACAAAAAGTTATCAAAACTTCTAACACACTCATAACTACGTCTTTGATCGAATAAAAACATGAAAGACTAAGAAAAGATAAAAAAAGGATTAATTTTTCCCTTTGCAGCAATTTGAGGATATCTAAAATGAGATATATTTACTTATCTCGCCTGTCAGAGACTTACTGCAGAGCATAGACGTCCGATACAGTTAGTCTCTTTGTTCTGATTGCTGTGCTATTGATTTCTGACAGTTAGGGTGTGACAGCAAAAATCCAACATACGTTCAAATCTATGTTTTATTTTCAAGAAAACAATTGCCACTGTTAAATTATTTCGTAATTCAAGTGTCTTTTTTTCAAATATATTTTCTTTGAGGCAATATATTAAAAGAAGGATGCTGATGTAGTGATGAGTTTAGCGCTCGTTATACGTTTTACTTTATGAATTTCAAATACAATTCGTTGTTCTATTCTTTGCGTTTTTACAGTTGTCTTTAGAAGTACCTGATGAATCTTTCTCTCAAATTTAACCTTCGTAATTAGTTGAACGCGTTTGATTTCGGGCCTGATTTAAAAAAAATGGACGACAGGCGGCCATCTTGGATGTTGACATTGGAAATTTGTTACCACTGTCTCTTTCGAAGTACTGGATGGTTTTTCTCACAGTTCATAGGTAGATTCCTATTGGTCCTATATATTGCTTGCTTTTGAGACTGGTTAAAAACAACAGAATTGCTGACTGACCATCACGGTTCTATGTATTTGTTACCCATATTGTTTGACCAGGACTAGAAATGCTGTACAACAGGATGACCATTTATTGGATATTCAAGTGCTGTTATCATTTAATATGTACAAATATTTACAGTTGTATGATGTTGCTGGAATGTGTGAGGCACAAAGGCACTTTTATCTACTGCAAACCAAATAGAATGTCAAACATTTCAACAGACGTTTCTCATTAAATAAACAAACATCCTTTTTTGGTCAGACCATTAATAACAACATTTTAATATATATAGTTGTCTTTATTGAATGATTTATTGAAGAGATTTAACGTCCACTATTACGGCCTTCCAGCCTTTCACAGACGACATAAAGCTGACAGTCAGCTTATTCTGCATATAAAACAGTGTCTGTATACAACGTCCACAAATTACTGAATATCGATTCATTAATCTGTTCCATCTTTGTTCATTACAAAACTATATATGGATATTTAGTTTGGTTTAAGTTTCATGAAATCAGCGAACATATATTTTCTATAACTATATAGATGTACAGAAGGAACAATACAATACTACTGCACTTGTAAATATCATTACCGATTATAGTTTCAGAAACATCACGAGGTGATAAAAAAACGATAATAACAGTAAAATGGAGGTGCTTGTGATTTGAAAATGTATCTGATTTGTCATTACATGTTGACTAGTTATTAAGGTAAATATGTACACAGGAGTTCTCGTTAATACGTAAAAAACTGAAGTTACGACGTCGACATGAACATCAATCAGACACACAGACATATGTTCTGTCTCAGTAGATGGTACGAGTGTGAAGTGATTACCCGAGACACATCTGTAAGTGAGATAAGTGCGGTTTCAGTGACTTCATACACGTGACTACACAAACATGTGACTACACAAACAAGTCACTACACAAACTAATGACTACACAAACATGTCACTACAAACAAGTGACTACACAAACTAGTGACTACAAACAAGTGACTACACAAACTTGTGACTACACAAACAAGTGACTACACAGACAAGTGACTACAAACATATGACTATACAAACAAGTGACTATACAAACAAGTGACTACACAAGCATGTGACTACAAACTAGTGGCTACACAAACGTGACTAAATACAAGTCACTACACAAACTAGTGACTACAAACTAGTGACTACACAAAGAAATGACTACAAACACGTGACTACAAACTAGTGACTACAAACACGTGACTACACAAACAAGTGACTACACAAACAAATGACTACACAAACAAGTCACTACACAAACAAGTGACTACAAACATGTGACTACAAACACGTGACTACAAACTAGTGATTTCAAACTAGTGACTACACAAACAAGTGACTACACAAACAAGTCACTACACAAACAAGTGACTACACAAACAAGTAACTACACAAACAAGTAACTACACAAACAAGTGACTACAAACATGTGACTACAAACACGTGACTACAAACTAGTGATTTCAAACTAGTGACTACACAAACAAGTAACTACACAAACATGTGACGACACAAACATGTGACTACACAAACAAGTGACTACACAGAGAAGTGACTACAAACACGTGACTACACAAACAAGTCACTACACAAACAAGTGACGACACAAACAAGTAACTACACAAACAAGTGACTACAAACACGTGACTACAAACACGTGACTACAAACTAGTGACTACACAAGCAAGTAAATACACAAACAAGCCACTACACAAACAAGTGACTATACAAACAATTGATTACAAACAAATAACTAGACAAACTAGTAATTACAAATTAGTGACAACAAATGGTCTGAATTTCAGCATTATACAAGAAAAGTTTTCATTTCTTTTTAAATCGTTGAATGCAAAAAGGAAGTGAAAGGCCCGCGATACAGGTATACATGTCATTCTCACCGCATACATGTTAACACCTGTTAATAAGAAGGAATGTAGAATTTTTTTCTCGATGGACCTGTTATGAAAAGATCGTCAAGCTATTTGGTACTAAAAAGATAAGGTTTACAAGTATTTACAGAGACCGTGGTACAGTACAAGAATTTACACAGACAGTGGTACAGGACAAGTATTTACAGAGACAGTGGTACAGGACAAGTATTTACAGAGACCGTGGTACAGGACAAGAATTTACACATACAGTGGTACAGGACAAGTATTTACAGAGACAGTGGTACAGGACAAGTATTTACAGAGACAGTGGTACAGGACAAGTATTTACAGAGACCGTGGTACAGGACAAGAATTTACACAGACAGTGGTACAGGACAAGTATTTACAGAGACAGTGGTACAGGACAAGTATTTACAGAGACCGTGGTACAGGAGAAATATATACAGGAACTTGATAAGGAAAATAATTGAACAATTCTGTAATCAGTTTTCTGAGAAATCGACCGATGTATAGATCTATGCACATATCTCGGATTTTTTTGATAATACAAAATGAAATTATATAAAATATCTTAAAGATATATTTTAACAAATTCATTTGTTTCTGATATCCTATTTGAATTATTTTATTTAATTCATATCAATTATTCATACATGCATATATATTCGTTTACGTTATAATAATATTTGTATTTGTTTTTTTCAAAATGTTTCAAATAGCTTGACAGTTTACTTGTGTAAGTTTAGCGGTATGACATTTTGGACAAGTTCTTTACCTGTTAAAACAACACACACTTGTACCTTAAATGTTATAACAACCCACTGCCCTATTTGTGTTCATAATGTTTTTGGGACAAACAGGTTATACATTTTTTTTTATTCAGTTTTCGGACAAAGATGATTAAACCGGTCAGTCTGACGTCTACCGACTGGTCAGTTGAGGCCCATGAGGCTTGGCTTAGTGTCCAGTAGGGTAAGAAATAAAACGTTGTTTACAAAGTTTTTGTGAAGGAAAAAGGGAATTATTACATTAGTAATCGGTCGATAAATTTCCATCCACTGAAGCGTGAATAAATACACACACAGTTACCCAACGGTCGGATGGAGTGATGTGAAGGGTATGAATAAGTTATGTAACTATTAGTTGTCAAGGTAACGAACAGAATCCGGTAAGGTAACAACCAGTGTAGGTTGACATAACAACCAGTCTAGGTCGACATAACAACCAGTCTAGGTCGACATAGATAATGTATCTATGTGTACGGGTATATACCTGACATTGATACAGAGGAAGAGATTTACCTGTACCTGTTTTTTGAGGGCAATTACATGTTTTCAGTCTGGTTTCGTGAATTTCCGTGAATTCGGGTATAATATTAGTTATTATCTTTCCCGGTATCTGGTGTATTGTAGATAACTAGAAATATTTGGATAGATTACATATGTCTCCATGAAGGATTATTTCACATAGTAAAATTATAATATACCTCGAAACAACAAAGAGAATACCAACATGTCAACACAATCACAATCCAAACTCAGGTTCACTAAAACTAGGAAATACCAACATGTCAACACAATCACAATCCAAACTCAGGTTCACTAAAACTAGGAAATACCAACATGTCAACACAATCACAATCCAAACTCAGGTTCAAGCAGGAAATACCAACATGTCAACACAATCACAATCCAAACTCAGGTTCACTAAAACTAGGAAATACCAACATGTCAACACAATCACAATCCAAACTCAGGTTCAAGCAGGAAATACCAACATGTCAACACAATCACAATCCAAACTCAGGTTCACTAAAACTAGGAAATACCAACATGTCAACACAACACAATCACAATCATGTCAACACAAACTCAGGTTCAAGCAGGAAATACCAACATGTCAACACAATCACAATCCAAACTCAGGTTCACTAAAACTAGGAAATACCAACATGTCAACACAATCACAATCCAAACTCAGGTTCACTAAAACTAGGAAATACCAACATGTCAACACAATCACAATCCAAACTCAGGTTCAATCAGGAAATACCAACATGTCAACACAATCACAATCCAAACTCAGGTTCACTAAAACTAGGAAATACCAACATGTCAACACAATCACAATCCAAACTCAGGTTCAATCAGGAAATACCAACATGTCAACACAATCACAATCCAAACTCAGGTTCAATCAGGAATCAGGAAATACCAACATGTCAACACAATCACAATCCAAACTCAGGTTCACCAAAACTAGGAAATACCAACATGTCAACACAATCACAATCCAAACCCAGGTTAAACTAGGAAATACCAACATGTCAACACAATCACAATCCAAACTCAGGTTCAATCAGGAAATACCAACATGTCAACACAATCACAATCCAAACTCAGGTTCACTAAAACTAGGAAATACCAACATGTCAACACAATCACAATCCAAACTCAGGTTCCAAACTCAAAACTAGGAAATACCAACATGTCAACAACACAATCACACATGTCAACACAATCACAACTCAGGTTCTAAAACTAGGAAATACCAACATGTCAACACAATCACAATCCAAACTAGGAAATACCAACATGTCAACACAATCACAATCCAAACTCAGGTAGGAAATACCAACATGTCAACACAATCACAATCCAATCTCAGGTTTCACTAAATCTAGGAAATACCAACATGTCAACACAATCACAATCCAAACTCAGGTTCAATCAGGAAATACCAACATGTCAACACAATCACAATCCAAACACAGGTTCAATCAGGAAATACCAACATGTCAACACAATCACAATCCAAACTCAGGTTCAACACAATCACAATCCAAACTCAAATCTAGGAAATACCAAACATGTCAGGAAATACCAACATGTCAAACACAACTCAGGTTCACTAAAACTAGGAAATACCAACATGTCAACACAATCACAATCCAAACTCAGAAATACCAACATGTTCACAATCCAAAAGGTTCTAGGAAATACCAACATGTCAACACAATCACAATCCAAACTCAGGTTCACTAAAACTAGGAAATACCAACATGTCAACACAATCACAATCCAAACTCAGGTTCAATCAGGAAATACCAACATGTCAACACAATCACAATCCAAACTCAGGTTCACTAAAACTAGGAAATACCAACATGTCAACACAATCACAATCCAAACTCAGGTTCAGGAAATACCAAATGTCAACACAATCACAATCCAAACTCAGGTTCAACAGGAAATACCAACACAATCACAATCCAAACTCAGGAGGAAATACCAACATGTCAACACAATCACAACACAATACCAACATGTCAACACAATCACAATCCAAACTCAGGTTCACTAAAAGGTTCTAGGAAATACCAACATGTCAACACAATCACAATCCAAACACAATCACAAATCAATCAGGAAATACCAACATGTCAACACAATCACAATCCAAACTCAGGTTCACTAAAACTAGGAAATACCAACATGTCAACACAATCACAATCCAAACTCAGGTTCAATCAGGAAATACCAACATGTCAACACAATCACAATCCAAACTCAGGTTCACTAAAACTAGGAAATACCAACATGTCAACACAATCACACACCAACATGTCAACACAAACAATCAGGTTTAAATCTAGGAAATACCAACATGTCAACACAATCACAATCCAAACTCAGGTTCAGGAAATACCAAAGGAAATACCAACATGTCAACACAATCACAATCCCTCAGGTTCAATCAGGAAATACCAACATGTCAACACAATCACAATCCAAACTCAGGTTCAATCAGGAAATACCAACATGTCAACACAATCACAATCCAAACCCAGGTTTAATTAGGAAATACCAACATGTCAACACAATCACAATCCAAACTCAGGTTCAATCAGGAAATACCAACATGTCAACACAATCACAATCCAAACTCAGGTTCACCAAAACTAGGAAATACCAACATGTCAACACAATCACAATCCAAACCCAGGTTTAATTAGGAAATACCAACATGTCAACACAATCACAATCCAAACTCAGGTTCACTCAACACAATCACAATCCAAACTCAGGGAAATACCAACATGTCAACACAATCACAATCCAAACTCAGGTTCACTAAATCTCGGAAATACCAACATGTCAACACAATCACAATCCAAACTCAAGGAAATACCAACATGTCAACACAATCACAATCCAAACTCAGGTTAACTAAAACAAGGAAATACCAACATGTCAACACAATCACAATCCAAACTCAGGTTCAATCAGGAAATACCAACATGTCAACACAATCACAATCCAAACTCAGGTTCACTAAATCTAGGAAATACCAACATGTCAACACAATCACAATCCAAACTCAGGTTCAATCAGGAAATACCAACATGTCAACACAATCACAATCCAAACTCAGGTTCACTAAATCTAGGAAATACCAACATGTCAACACAATCACAATCCAAACTCAGGTTCAATCAGGAAATACCAACATGTCAACACAATCACAATCCAAACTCAGGTTCAATCAGGAAATACCAACATGTCAACACAATCACAATCCAAACATGTCAACACAATCAGAATCCAAACTCATGTTCAACGAGAAACAAACACGTGCATTGTCACATCGTGAAAAATTTCTTCGTGACGATCGTAAATTTCCCCATCACTTTCACCAACAAAGTATGTCGCGAAATATATAGCAATATGGACAATTGTGAGGTTTATGAATCAAATATGAACGAGGGAGGTCCGTATCCAAGTATGAACTGGCAATCTGAGTAATACAGAAGATGGATTAGCCACTATTCTCCTTTGGTAAATTTATATGTAGGGTTTCCTCCGTTACCGTGTAAAGCTAGCAACCATGTAGCGCTAGAATACGGACCTCACTTGTTTATGGATTAAAAAAAATCATTTGGTCATCTTAAACTTCTGTAATTGAGGATCAGAGTTCACAACCATACAATAAAAAAGAAACAAAGCAGAGTTCATACAATGAATTTTTAACGGAATGTACCATTGACTTGTGCGACTTAGATAAACCCATGTGATGATATACAGCTGTAGGTTATACCGTTCATAGTCTACTTCAGAGGCTCCATTTCCTACAAGTGTTGATGTGTTGATGATAACTGATGCCTGTCTGTATGATAAGGCCGAATGAGGTTTAAACTGTCTCTTATATTTGATATTGAATATTTAATTTTAGACAGAATCAATTCTGATATGTGAATATAAAATTGTTGCCAAATTCAATGTATAGTTTGATGTCTTTATCAAAATGAGTTGAAACTATTAGATATAAAAATACATGTAAATATCGGAAATGGGGAGAAGGGCTGTCCTTACTAAATAACATGCATTTAAGCTTCTGGTCATTGTGTGAGTTTCTTTTACAGGTATATATCAACTTACCTCCGCCATTCTTCATACACACATAAGGAAACCTCCACACATTTCCGAACCCGACAACCAGTCCTAACACGGACAGGAAGAAGTCTAGCTTCTTGCCCCATTGTTCGGGTTGTTTTGACTTTGAGTTGCTATCGTCAGACATGCTATCCTCACTAAACTTAAGAAATTTTGTCGTCGATTCCATGCTCTGCTGATCACCCCGTCAGATCGGTATAAGGCGGGCCTGACCTAACCAATGGTCTGGTTCTAGTTGCGTACGTCATCACGCATTTCAGGATTTTATTTTTCTCAAACAAATCGCAGGCGGAACATTATGCTAGGTGAAGAACACTTGTATGTATGTACCGCAGTGTCTTTTTTGTGTCAAATCTTATTTTTCAGATGGTTTGGGTTGACAAATTTATTACTACTTTCGGAAATCTAATGAGCAGTCATCTGATATTAAATCAAGGTCATTAAGCCAATGTCATTTATCTTATCTCTTAAACGTTTTAATTAAACTAGATGTAATCTAACTACATCGTCGTGTCAAATGTCAAGGTATGTTATTTCAGATTTACAGAGCGTGACACACTGCAAAATGTAATAGTATAAAATATATGAAACAGAAGTCATTTTTATCTTAATGCCTCCGCTAGGACTCGAACCCATGACTCCTGACTTAGTAGTCTCATGTTCTCCCAAGCCGAGCGGTGTTTTGCTGCTAGTATTGACCAGGGTTACATACACTTAATAATTCTAGGTCTAACTTTACAAGTAGCCAGAGGTATTTCTCTCAGGTTGGTTTATCTAATCCACAGGAAAAATATTTTAATTCTAAAGCACTGACAGCGTAAAAATATTAAGAAATTTGACACTTATCCTGGTATATCCCTGTAGTAACTGACACTTATCCTGGTATATCCCTGTAGTAACTGACACTTATCATGGTATATCCCTGTAGTAACTGACACTTATCCTGGTATATCCCGGTAGTAAATTGACACTTGTCCGGAATATCCCTGTAGTAACTGACACTTGTCCTGGTATATCCCTGTAGTAAATTGACACTTGTCCGGAATATCCCGGTAGTAATTGACACTTGTCCGGAATATCCCGGTAGTAACTGACACTTGTCCGGAATATCCCTGTAGTAATTGACACTTGTCCGGAATATCCCTGTAGTAATTGACACTTGTCCGGAATATCCCGGTAGCAACTGACACTTGTCCAGAATATCCCGGTAGTAATTGACACTTGTCCGGAATATCCCGGTAGTAATTGACACTTGTCCGGAATATCCCGGTAGTAACTGACACTTGTCCGGAATATCCCGGTAGTAACTGACACTTGTCCGGAATATCTCTGTAGTAATTGACACTTGTCCGGAATATCCCTGTAGTAATTGGCACTTGTCCGGAATTTCTCTGTAGTAATTGACACTTGTCCGGAATATCCCGGTAGTAATTGACACTTGTCCGGAACATCTCTGTAGTAGTTTGACATTGTTCTGGAATGTCTCTGTTTTTGATCTTGGCGGTTACAATTGGTAACAAAGTAAGAACGTTCTATTGTTGAAAGAAGACGTCTGTGGTCAAACCATGCAAAGGGCACCAATAACACGTTAGACCCCTGTTGCACCATATTAAGGGCACCAATAACACGTTGGCCCCAGCTGCACCATGCTAAGGGCACCAATAACACGTTGGCCCCAGCTGAACCATGCTAAGGGCACCAATAACACGTTGGTCCCAGCTGCACCATGCTAAGGGCACCAATAACACGTTTGCCCCAGTTGCACCATGCTAAGGGCACCAATAACACGTTGGCCCCAGCTGCACCATGCTAAGGGCACCAATATCACGTTAGACCCCTGTTGCACCATGCTAAGGGTACCAATAACACGTTGGCCCCAGCTGCACCATGCTAAGGGCACCAATAACACGTTAGACCCCTTGTTGCACCATGCTAAGGGCACCAATAACACGTTAGACCCCAGTTGCACCATACTAAGGGCACCACTAACACGTTTGACCCCTGTTGCAACATGTTAAGGGCACCACTAACACGTTAGACCCCAGTTGCACCATACTAAGGGCACCACTAACACGTTAGACCCCAGTTGCACCATACTAAGGGCACCACTAACACGTTTGACCCCAGCTGCACCATGCTAAGGGCACCACTAACACGTTAGACCCCTTGTTGCATCATGCTAAGGGCACCAATAACACGTTAGACCCCAGTTGCACCATACTAAGGGCACCACTAACACGTTTGACCCCTGTTGCACCATACAAAACGCTTTGACGTTGAGGCAAAACTGGGCGGATAGTGTGACGTCGCAAACAGACGTAGACCTCGTGCAATCTGTTAAGAATTTCGACCTCGAAACTCGCGAATGCTTCTAACTTTCAGTGAAGAGGACTGAAACCTGTTACGTAAAACGACGTCGGTACATACGTATCTTGTTGACGTGATGTCACATTTGGGGTCCCTTACCGTGTTTATCTGCTGAAAATTACCCCATAAAGCATTTATTGTACATGTACCTCAAATTGATCTCATGGTAATCATTATTGTGAGATATCCCATCCACGAGAATGCCAATAATACGTAAACATTCGTTTTCACCCTTGCGTGGCATGTTCCCTGTAATTCTCTCATTGCCTCCACTAGGATTCGAAACCGGGGCCTCTGGCGTACTAGTCCGACTTTCAGATGATCGAGCTAAAGAGAAGTTTCCGGCTAATATTTTACCAAGGTTATATACTCCCCGTCCAGGAAATAGCTCGCCCTCGAGTTTCCAGGGGTTACAGCGATGCATGTGAAAGTAGAGCTAACTCTTATTCCCGAGTCCCTATGTGGACGCCAATGTATCAATGTCTCCACTAGGATTCGAACCCGGGATTCTTGGCTTACCAGCCTCACGCTCCACCTATTCGCAAGCTGCCCAGTATTTCGCGGCTAGTACTTTACCAGGATTGCATACACTTCATAGAATATTTCCCATGAATGAAAGACTGTTTTCCTCGTATGCGTTGTCTAATCCGAAAAAGTGCTGACCATTGGAACGTAACGAACATGCAATATTTATAATTTCGAACGGAAAATTCCAATTATTCAAAGTTTTTCTTCCGTCAGGATATGTAAAAAATTTCAGAGCCAAAAAAGAACATCACTTTTTTTTATTTACCTGCCCCTCCTCCCCCCTCCCCACCTCCCGCTCCTCCCCCTTACCCACCTCCCGCTCCTCCCCCCTACCCACCTCCCGCTCCTCCCCACCTCCCGCTCCTCCCCACCTTCCGCTCCTCCCCACCTCCCCCCTCTCCACCTCCCGCTCCTCCCCACCTCCCGCTCCGCTCCTCCCCACCTCCCGCTCCTCCCCACCTCCCCCCTCTCCACCTCCCGCTCCTCCCCACCTCCCCCCTCTCCACCTCCCGCTCCTCCCCACCTTCCCCCTCTCCACCTCCCGCTCCTCCCCACCTCCCGCTCCTCCCCCCTACCCACCTCCCGCTCCTCCCCCCTACCCACCTCCCGCTCCTCCCCACCTCCCGCTCCGCTCCTCCCCACCTTCCGCTCCTCCCCACCTCCTCCCTCCCCACCTCCCGCTCCGCTCCTCCCCACCTCCCCCCTCCCCACCTCCCGCTCCGCTCCTCCCCCCTCCCCACCTCCCGCTCCTCCCCACCTCCCGCTCCGCTCCTCCCCACCTTCCGCTCCTCCCCACCTTCCGCTCCTCCCCACCTCCCTCCTCTCCACCTCCCGCTCCTCCCCACCTCCCCCCTCTCCACCTCCCGCTCCTCCCCACATCCTCTCAACGCAGCTCAGCCGTGATCTCCACCTCCCTCTCCTCCCCACCTCCCCCCTCTCCCCCTCCCGCTCCTCCCCACCTCCCCCCTCTCCACCTCCCGCTCCTCCCCACCTCCCGCTCCTCCCCCCTACCCACCTCCCGCTCCTCCCCCCTACCCACCTCCCCCTCCCCACCTCCCGCTCCGCTCCTCCCCCCTCCCCACCTCCCGCTCCTCCCCACCTCCCGCACCGCTCCTCCCCACCTTCCGCTCCTCCCCACCTCCCCCCTCTCCACCTCCCGCTCCTCCCAGTGAAAAGAACGTCATAAATCACGATAACTTTGTTTACAAGATATAAATATTTCTCGATCGCATAGCGGAAGAATAAACGGCACTATGTTACACTATGCCTACCGGATAGCGCACGGCAGTATTTAGCTGAGTACACCCATGACCATCAACGATGACCTAGTTTTGTGCCCGTTACTAGCATTTCTTCATATGTTCAAGTGTAATTGCTATAATAAAATGCAGCTTACACCGTTTGGGAGTATACCAGGCGCGTTTGATGTAAGATATCCCACGAAACATGTAATTTGCTATTTAATAAACTCGATGATGGAATTCACTGCATTAATATGGATGGATAGTAGGGCTGCATACTATATATATAAAAAAACTGCAATGATACATTAGGGTCTCTATCGGAATGATATATGTAACCGAGCAGACTGAGGTTTAACATATCAAATCCACTGCACGGCATTAGTACAGTTTTATAATGTTCGTTGTTGTACAGTTCGCCAATCGGTGACACATCATGGCTTGATATGAGCAAGAAACGCATATCCACTGTTGACAGGATCGCCAATGTCTTTACGTACGCAAATATTTTGTCCAAAAAGAATGATTCTCAAATGGTCGCTGCAACCATTTTTAAACGATTAAACATGAATGAGAGTGATTTTTTCAGGACAAGTCAATCACAGCTCACGTGGTTTACTTGCTGTGTTATGTGAGGGGTTTAGGTTTAATGTTCACGGGCATGACTGATTGACTAGCAACATGTATTTACCTATGGAGAGTGAAGATACATCGCGAGTGTTCCGAACTTGTCTTAATGTTACCGATAACAGGCACAGCGGGAAAGAGTTCACGACCCAGAGTGCCAGTAATGTGGAAACGCATCGGTGCTGAAGTCCTTTCAGTAGCCAGTCTAAACAATTATCGGCGGGCTGAATGTTATTTTCATTTAGAAAGTTTATATACTCATTAATACTAATATAAAATGGGCATTTTCAACCTACAAACTTAACCGTGAATTGATAAAACAACTAAAATTTGTAAATTAAAAAAAGAAAAAAAGATTTAACGCAATTTTGTTATGACAATCATAATCGTCCTCTAACGTTTGATCCTTGTTCCGTATGACGTATCCTCCTTTTTCCTCTGACGCGTCCTCCTTTTTTCCTCTGACGTAGCCTCCTTTCTCCTCTGACATATCCTCCCTTTTTCCTCTGCCGTATCCTCCTTTTTGCTCTGAGGTATTCTCCTTTTTCCTCTGACGTATCCTCCCTTTTTCCTCTGACGTATCCTCCTTTTTCCCTCTGACATATCCTCCCTTTTTCCTCTGACGTATCCTCCCTTTTTCCTCTGACGTGTCCTCCTTTTTTCCTCTGACGTATCCTCCCTTTTTCCTCTGACGTGTCCTCCTTTTTTCCTCTGACGTATCCTCCCTTTTTCCTCTGACGTGTCCTACTTTTTTCCTCTGACATATCCTCCCTTTTTCCTCTGACATATCCTCCCTTTTTCCTCTGACGTATCCTCCCTTTTTCCTCTGATGTATCCTCCTTTTTCCTCTGACGTATCCTCCTTTTTCCCTCTGACATATCCTCCTTTTTTCCTCTGACGTATCCTCCCTTTTTCCTCTGACGTGTCCTCCTTTTTTCCTCTGACGTTTCCTCCTTTTTCCCTCTGACATATCCTCCCTTTTTCCTCTGACATATCCTCCTTTTTTCCTCTGACGTGTCCTCCTTTTTTCCTCTGACGTATCCTCCCTTTTTCCTCTGACGTGTCCTACTTTTTTCCTCTGACATATCCTCCCTTTTTCCTCTGACATATCCTCCTTTTTTCCTCTGACGTGTCCTCCTTTTTTCCTCTGACGTATCCTCCCTTTTTCCTCTGACGTGTCCTCCTTTTTTCCTCTGACGTTTCCTCCTTTTTCCCTCTGACATATCCTCCCTTTTTCCTCTGACATATCCTCCTTTTTTCCTCTGACGTGTCCTCCTTTTTTCCTCTGACGTATCCTCCTTTTTCCCTCTGACGTATCCTCCCTTTTTCCTCTGACGTATCCTCCTTTTTCCCTCTGACATATCCTCCCTTTTTCCTCTGATGTATCCTCCCTTTTTCCTCTGACGTGTCCTCCTTTTTTCCTCTGACGTTTCCTCCTTTTTCCCTCTGACATATCCTCCCTTTTTCCTCTGACATATCCTCCTTTTTTCCTCTGACGTGTCCTCCTTTTTTCCTCTGACGTATCCTCCCTTTTTCCTCTGACGTGTCCTACTTTTTTCCTCTGACATATCCTCCCTTTTTTCCTCTGACATATCCTCCCTTTTTCCTCTGACGTATCCTCCCTTTTTCCTCTGACGTGTCCTACTTTTTTCCTCTGACATATCCTCCCTTTTTCCTCTGACGTGTCCTCCTTTTTTCCTCTGACGTTTCCTCCTTTTTCCCTCTGACATATCCTCCCTTTTTCCTCTGACATATCCTCCTTTTTTCCTCTGACGTGTCCTCCTTTTTTCCTCTGACGTATCCTCCTTTTTCCCTCTGACGTATCCTCCCTTTTTCCTCTGACGTATCCTCCTTTTTCCCTCTGACATATCCTCCCTTTTTCCTCTGACGTATCCTCCCTTTTTCCTCTGACGTGTCCTCCTTTTTTCCTCTGACGTTTCCTCCTTTTTCCCTCTGACATATCCTCCCTTTTTCCTCTGACATATCCTCCTTTTTTCCTCTGACGTGTCCTCCTTTTTTCCTCTGACGTATCCTCCCTTTTTCCTCTGACGTGTCCTACTTTTTTCCTCTGACATATCCTCCCTTTTTCCTCTGACATATCCTCCTTTTTTCCTCTGACGTGTCCTCCTTTTTTCCTCTGACGTATCCTCCCTTTTTCCTCTGACGTGTCCTCCTTTTTTCCTCTGACGTTTCCTCCTTTTTCCCTCTGACATATCCTCCCTTTTTCCTCTGACATATCCTCCTTTTTTCCTCTGACGTGTCCTCCTTTTTTCCTCTGACGTATCCTCCTTTTTCCCTCTGACGTATCCTCCCTTTTTCCTCTGACGTATCCTCCTTTTTCCCTCTGACATATCCTCCCTTTTTCCTCTGACGTATCCTCCCTTTTTCCTCTGACGTGTCCTCCTTTTTTCCTCTGACGTATCCTCCCTTTTTCCTCTGACGTGTCCTATTTTTTTCCTCTGACATATCCTCCCTTTTTCCTCTGACATATCCTCCTTTTTTCCTCTGACGTGTCCTCCTTTTTTCCTCTGACGTATCCTCCCTTTTTCCTCTGACGTGTCCTCCTTTTTTCCTCTGACGTTTCCTCCTTTTTCCCTCTGACATATCCTCCCTTTTTCCTCTGACATATCCTCCTTTTTTCCTCTGACGTGTCCTCCTTTTTTCCTCTGACGTATCCTCCCTTTTTCCTCTGATGTATCCTCCTTTTTCCTTTGACGTATCCTCCTTTTTCCACTGACATATCCTCCTTTTCCCTCTGACGTATCCTCCTATTTCCGTTGCCGTATCCTCCTTTTTCCTCTGACGTATCCTCCTTTTTCCTCTGACGTATCCTCCTTTTTTCTCTGACGTATCCTCCTTTTTCCTCTGACGTATCCTCCCTTTTTCCTCTGACATATCCTCCTTTTCCCTCTGACGTATCCTCCTTTTTCCTTTGACGTATCCTCCTTTTTCCACTGACATATCCTCCTTTTTCTCTGACGTATCCTCCTTTTTCCCTTCCGATGTATCCTCCTTTGTCGTCTGACTTGTCGTCCTTTTTTCCTCGTATGTTTTATCCTTTGTTCTCTAATTCTTCTTTCTTTTTTCCTTTGACGTTTTATTCTTTCTCCTTTGGATATTTTATCCACATAAACTCTTACACAAGGACACAGGAACTTGGAAAAATATGTTGTAACCTTGTCTGCTGAATTCAACTTCCCTAATTAACAGATGTGTCATCAAATTACTAAAACATGTTCCTTTATCCAGGATATTAACTAATGAACAAGATCTATCGGGTACAAAATGTCAATATCGGATATATTGTACACGTCATCTCATACGACGTAGAAGCTTGTACTGAGGAACCTCAGCCATCCTGAATTCATGCAGTGGATTCCATGTATTGAATTTTGTTCGAAAAAGTCCCACATATGCCCAATTCGGTTCATATCTGGCAACACTGCAGGTCATGATGGCTTCTCTATCCCTTCTTGTTGAAAATATTCTTATTCTACGCTGATTCTATGTTGTGTGGCATTGTAACCAATTAGGTTAGGCTGTCATTGTAATCCATTATGTGAGGCTGTCATTGTAATCCATTAGGTTAGGCTGTCATTGTAATCCATTAGGTTAGGCTGTCATTGTAATCCATTAGGTTAGGCTGTCATTGTAATCCATTAGGTTAGGCTGTCATTGTAATCCATTAGGTTAGGCTGTCATTGTAATCCATTAGGTTAGGCTGTCATTGTAATCCATTAGGTTAGGCTGTCATTGTAATCCATTAGGTTAGGCTGTCATTGTAATCCATTAGGTTAGGCTGTCATTGTAATCCATTAGGTTAGGCTGTCATTGTAATCCATTAGGTTAGGCTGCCATTGTAATCCATTAGGTTAGGCTGCCATTGTAATCCATTAGGTTAGGCTATCATTGTAATCCATTAGGTTAGGCTGCCATTGTAATCCATTAGGTTAGGCTGCCATTGTAATCCATTAGGTTAAGCTGCCATTGTAATCCATTAGGTTAGGCTGTCATTGTAATCCATTAGGTTAGGCTGTCATTGTAATCCATTAGGTTAGGCTGCCATTGTAATCCATTAGGTTAAGCTGCCATTGTAATCCATTAGGTTAGGCTGTCATTGTAATCCATTAGGTTAGGCTGTCATTGTTATCCATTAGGTTAGGCTGTCATTGTAATCCATTAGGTTAGGCTGTCATTGTTATCCATTAGGTTAGGCTGTCATTGTAATCCATTATGTTAGGCTGTCATTGTAATCCATTATGTTAGGCTGTCATTGTAATCCATTATGTTAGGCTGTCATTGTAATCCATTAGGTTAGGCTGTCATTGTAATCCATTAGGTTAGGCTGTCATTGTAATCCATTAGGTTAGGCTGCCATTGTAATCCATTAGGTTAGGCTGCCATTGTAATCCATTAGGTTAGGCTGCCATTGTAATCCATAAGGTTAGTCTGTCATTGTTATCCATTAGGTTAGGCTGTCATTGTAATCCATTAGGTTAGGCTGTCATTGTAATCCATAAGGTTAGTCTGTCATTAAATGGATATCTGGTTCAGTGTGATTTGGCATTGTAACCTATTAGGTTAGGCTGTCATTGTAATCCATTAGGTTAGGCTGCCATTGTAATCCATAAGGTTAGGCTGTCATTGTAATCCATTAGGTTAGGCTGTCATTGTAATCCATAAGGTTAGTCTGTCATTAAATGGATATCTGGTTCAGTGTGATTTGGCATTGTAACCTATTAGGTTAGGCTGTCATTGTAATCCATTAGGTTAGGCTGCCATTGTAATCCATAAGGTTAGGCTGTCATTGTAATCCATTAGGTTAGGCTGTCATTGTAATCCATAAGGTTAGTCTGTCATTAAATGGATATCTGGTTCAGTGTGATTTGGCATTGTAATCCATTAGGTAGGCTGTCATTGTAATCCATTAGGTTAGGCTGCCATTGTAATCCATAAGGTTAGGCTGTCATTGTAATCCATTAGGTTAGGCTGTCATTGTAATCCATTAGGTAGGCTGTCATTGTAATCCATTAGGTTAGGCTGCCATTGTAATCCATTAGGTTAGGCTGCCATTGTAATCCATTAGGTTAGGCTGCCATTGTAATCCATTAGGTTAGGCTGCCATTGTTATCCATTAGGTTAGACTGTCATTGTAATCCATTAGGTTAGGCTGCCATTGTAATCCATTAGGTTAGGCTGTCATTGTAATCCATTAGGTTAGGCTGCCATTGTAATCCATTAGGTTAGGCTGCCATTAAATGGATATCTACATGCGGAACAACTAAAGGTCGAAGAATCTAATCAAAGCATTTTTGTCGATTTAAGGATCCATCAATAACATGCAAGCGAAGCTTACAGTTTAAGTCCCCAAACAGTCAAATTCTACCAGAGTTGTCGTTCCTTAACAGGCACAGTACACCTTTGTAAACAACTCACGGACTGACAATAGTTGACCTCGCAGACAAGGTCAGAGTTTGGCGCCGTGCAAAACTATTGCGGCATCCCTGACAATACAAATGATGGACACAGCTGCAAACTGTTTTGTTTTTATGCCAGATTAAAAACACAACATTTGAGCTTTTTTACAAGTTATGTACCAACATCGTAGCCAGTTTACCATCAGCTAATCACTGATATTAACATATGAACACGTTGGGAACTCAAAAGTGAAAGTACAAAATGTAAACACGACGGTTAGATACTGTTTACTCCAAATCAAACTTCCTCAATATAACACATAACGTTTATAACCATGTGATCAAATGTGGTCATTTTCCACATGAACGAACATTTCTAAATAATAATACAAATAACAAATCAGAAAAAGAAAGACACGTTTTTAAAGAATCATGAAATGGCGTCAGGTGTTATTGGGGTACCGCAATGCACTCTGGGAGATATTACCAAACAGTAGCACCGTCATTACCCAATTCCATTCTGCCCAGAATGTGATTTTGATGACATTGCGCATTTCATGGTCTCCAAACACGGTATCTGTCGTCTGTCAGACTAAGTAAGGCCTTTCGTTAGGCCAACGGACTACTCGCCAAGATCTTATATTCAATATAGGCTGATCATGTGTCCATTGCAATCTTGTTTGTTCTTTCCTTCCAGTCAACAGAGGAGGTTTTACTGTTCGGCGAGAGCGACGTCGCATGTTGTTGAAACGTCTTTTTTTTTTTTTACAATACTTTGGTTAACGTAACCATTGGCGTTCCTTTGTCTTCTGAGCCTGTTGACAGTGGTGAATGGGGTTTGCATTACCTGTTTACACAGAAGTCTATCTTCTCTTTCTGTAGTCTTTTTTAGTTCAGGCGCTGTTCAGTCTAAACACTGCTTTTGTTGGCAGAGCAATCTTGTGTTTTGTTAGAATACGGGGTACACGGTGTATTCTGGTTTATCGTGAGTTTATTGCTTGGCTGCGTACAGCACTAACACAAAAGGAGACACTGCAAGGAATAACAACAAGGTTTATTTTCAGAAAAAAAAATGAAAAAAAAAAGATCAATGACATTGATATGCCTGAAGTATAGTTAATGATTTCAGCCTATCTGTGCGTATTCGTGATGTTGGTCCTCGACATCGTACATACATTATGTACATCTGTATGTGTTATTATAACTGGTCTTACGTGTAGTTATAACGTTATTTTAGTAGACTATACCAAGCGTGTCTTTATTTCCCACAGTTTTCCGCGCAGTTAAAGACCATAGTGGTATTTTGTCCAAGTGAAATTACTTTCCTGGCTCCATCATTACACAGGGCTTAAAAATAGCAACCTACAGCAGTGCATTTGTTCCGTTTAACGTATATGATTACGAAGGCATTATATAAAAATAGACAAATGGTCTTCCCGGAGAAGCTGATTAAAACTAAAAATACATATATTTCGTATAGTCAGGATATATTGGTAGATGTTATGATACCGTTGAACTGTTGGGTCATTTTAAAATCTATATCGCAAATTTCACCCCAGTGTTCAGGTTTTAGTGTTTTGTTATTGTAATTTTCCGTTTCAGGATAGCATCCATACTGAATTCTCAACTTGCGCTGTTCACGTGTCGTAGTTGTTTCAATATGCAAGTTCTTGGTCCCGATATCACGATTTTGGCGCAATTTCGGCAACTGACAGTAAGATAGGTAGCACATAGGTGCATGTAGGTAAATATATATATATATTTATAATATAGTCAAATTTGAAATGTTCTGCCTCGTTTACAAACAAATGTCGATAGCATGATATTAAGATATCTTCACTGGGGTCAATTTAATGGCATCCAAAACACAATAGATTAAGATGGCGCTTTCTTGTATCCCATGTTTATAAAAAGTCTGTCCTTAAACGAACCCTCCAATCGCCAGTCATCCAATGATCTGTATGGTTTGTCAGTTGACACGGGACCCCACTCTGATGAAGGTTGCAGGGAGTGCTTCAATTTCTGTTGTAATAGTCACATAAATACATCAGACATGAAATTACACATAACATTGGCACGCGGCTTAGGAATATATAAAGATAACAATTATATATACACAGGTATAAACAGAAATAATAAATAACAATTGTTTTATTTTACGTTAAATTGGTAACCGACAAAGAATCTATCAGGTCCACAAAAAAACTTTATTTTACAACAATTGCAAAACAAGCTATAAGGTTATATAAGTCATTATCATCAGCTCGAATTGAAGCGCGGTTATTGTTTTACTGTCACGAGCACCTGTCCATTACTTTGTCCTATAGCTTGTCCTGTAATGCCTACCTGATAAAAAGTATCACCAGGGGATTTCATAATTGTCATCAACCCAATAACGATTACTGGAACGACAGGCATTACAGCAAACATCCAGCCCAGCACGGCGGCGAAGTGGGGGTACACATAGTCCCCGTAGGTGGGAGGGACATAGGACAGGAAACTGGTGATCAGCAGACCCTGTGTCAGTAAGTAATAATACCATGATCACATAACTAAGTATAATGGAGGAAAACATGGTCAAGGTTGGACATCCGACAGTATCAAAATATAATGTGTGTCTTTACTGTTTGTTGACACTAGTGTTAGGGATTTTGGGATAGTCTCATCTGTTGTTTTCAGTTTCGAAAACACACTGTAAAAAATGGACTTCAATTGTTTTAGATTTAGTAGTTTGCTTCGTGACACTTTCGTATCAAGGTCAAAACTGACCAGGGTCAAAACTGACCAATATAAGGAGATGTGATGTGTAACATATTGTACCACTGACCAGGGTCAAAACTTACCAATATAAGGAGATGTGATGTGTAACATATTGTACCACTGACCAGGGTCAAAACTGACCAATATAAGGAGATGTGATGTGTAACATATTGTACCACTGACCAGGGTCAAAACTGACCAATATAAGGAGATGTGATGTGTAACATATTGTACCACTGACCAGGGTCAAAACTGACCAATATAAGGAGATGTGATGTGTAACATACTGTACCACTGACCAGGGTCAAAACTGACCAATATAAGGAGATGTGATGTGTAACATATTGTACCACTGACCAGGGTCAAAACTGACCAATATAAGGAGATGTGATGTTTAACATATTGTACCACTGACCAGGGTCAAAACTGACCAATATAAGGAGATGTGATGTGTAACATATTGTACCACTGACCAGGGTCAAAACTGACCAATATAAGGAGATGTGATATGTAACATATTGTACCACTGACCAGGGTCAAAACTGACCAATATAAGGAGATGTGATATGTAACATATTGTACCACTGATCAGGGTCAAAACTGACAAATATAAGGAGATGTGATATATAACATTTTGTTCCACTGACCAGGGTCAAAACTGACCGATATAAGGAGATGTGATATGTAACATATTGTACCACTGACCAGGGTCAAAACTGACCGATATAAGGAGATGTAATATGTAACATATTGTACCACTGACCAGGGTCAAAACTGATCAATATAAGGAGATGTGATATGTAACATATTGTACCACTGACCAGGGTCAAAACTGACCAATATAAGGAGATGTGATATGTAACATTTCGTTCCACTGACCAGGGTTAATATAGGTGACAGGACACACCAACAGAATCGCATGTATATGGGTACAGGACGACCCAACATCATCTCTATATCACGGGAAAACCTCTCAGCGCCTGCAAGAATCAAAGCATATTAACGCTAATCACATTAAACATACCTGTTAGAGGTAAAAGTGAAGAGTAAATTGTAGTGTAATACCTGGTTATTGGTGCGTAAGAAGTAAACAGAGACTGGGTAATTTGTTTCACGTCATAATAACGTATTTACCTTAAAGTACAAGTGGTGTCCCTTCGTACTTTAAATTTTACGATGTAATGATCACATATCGTTATATCTTCGTTATACAGATGTGCACTGTAGTTTTTTGAAATTAAAAAAAATCATTATCTCTGAATGACTTAATTCAAACGTATCCCTCATGAAAATATGAATATGGCATCGTCATAAGCAGGATATTAAGTTTTCGCACGCAGAAACTAGTTGCCAGCTGGCAGCCCACGCTCTTATATGTTTATCATACTCCATACTGCCATTATGTAATTCCTGAGTTTAAGTGCTTACCATACACCCAACTAATTGTTAGACATTCCATGAGTGTGAACAGAATCGGTGAAAAAGCGGCACAGTACCAGTCGACTAGCTGGAATAGGTATACACCATTCTGTAAGTAAAATTGTCAATTAATACAGGTATTCCATTCGTCCAAGTCACGAATGTATATAATGCTTTGTGTTTTGTTGCTTTACGTCCTATTAACAACCGGGGCAGGTTTAGATGTTGAAGAAAAATCCACCCATCAGCAGCCTGTACTTGGCGATGGCTCAACGTAAGGGGTGTAATCAACTTGTACAATGTCACATAAACAGTTCTTGTTTACTGTATTGAAGTAGGATATATTTACATCAACGTTAATTAGATATTACAACCACTGGGAATAAAGTATGTCTTCACACACCTATAAAATATATCGTCGACAAGCTAGTATACGTGGGTGATACTGAGACACAAGTCAAAGATATGAAACTGATTCTTAGATATACGTCAAAATAACACTCTAAGTAGTGCCAATTATTGGCGAAATTTGTCACTCAAGTGTACAACATAATTTGTGTTAAATCTTAAAGTGACCGGCTGGCTTATCAGACAGATAGTCTAATTGCGGTCACCTTGGTGTCAGAGTCATGCCGTGAAACATTGGCTGGACATGCTCTCCACCGGTGAGACATTAACTGTTCACGGTTTAATTGTAGATCAGTAGAAGACACTTTCCCTATCGGAATTAGATTATAATTACTTTAGGATAAACTGTGAGATCACAGCAAATAGAGTCAGTCCTGGTGTGGCCGTGGAAGGAGTAACTTGTTAAGCTCGATACTCAGGCCATACATGTTATCATTGTTGTAACTTGTGCTAATACTCAACATTTGTACTTGAGAACGGTTGTTGCTGGTCTTTTGTATAACATAAGGATAGTACAACATAGAGGGGTAACAGCGCCTTTTCTAAGAAAGTTAACTAATTAGCTGCAAAAAACTGGGAATTACTACCAGAAATTAAATATCACCTTATGTTTTTTTATTTTAACGTTTGTGTTGTTCGTTGGACTCTCTTAGTATCTATAACCTCAGCATACAACACATACATCTTATACGTTCTCATAAACTCGTATACCCGTTAGATGTTAAAAAAACTCTGGTTATATTCAACATATTCAATTACATAATGTCAGAGGTACTGTATGAGAATGTGTATTGACATACCAAACATGCTCACCCTGCAACAAATCTCATTTAGAGAAGGTGACAATAGAACAGCTTAAAAACATTAGCATGTCAGTCTGTAGAGCGTGAAATATATAACAAGAAATAGGTCCAATTTTTTTATCTTAAACTATAAATTTATTCATTTTACAACAATCCGAAGCAAGCAATTTTTAAACTTATATTAATCAGTCTTGTTGGTCTGGATGGAAGAGCACAAGGGGTCTTACTGTGGGAGTACTCGGGGAAAACCCACGTTGTCGGGCAGGTGACCCCATCTCCTTTCACGTCCGTTCCGGTAATCGAACCCCGGACGTCTAGGTGAAAGGCAGGCACGTTACCACTGCGCCACCCGACCACACGGAGGAAGGACCTGACTATTGAGAGATTTCTTTTCCAAGAAAAATGAAAAATAGTACAAATATATGGTTTTGTAGTAAACTGAAGCGTATTTCGTGAAAAATACCTCAGAAGAAATCATAACAATGATCGATTTTCTGGTTAACACTACTTCCGTGGAGTTTAGTAGTAAGATCTTTCCACAAACCATTGGTATACCTATGCAAAGTCACTCAATTTCACTTTCACTGATACTGATGACGCCTTATCTTTACGAAAGAAATTAATTGACACTATCAGTCGTTGTATGCTCATCAGAATTGGAATGTGAGGCGTCTTCTACATCAGCCGCTCACTTCGATCTTTTTCGACAACGAAACCAAGATTGCCAACTTTCCACCATTCTTTAACATTCAATTTTTTTGTGAATTTCGATTACTGGTATGTAAATCCTTGCATCCTCATTATATGGTGTTAACAGGTCGAAGCTGATTCGATAGTCTATGGCCTGTTCTCAATATTACGATTTTCCCGCAAGATGTCGACAACTGTAAGATATTCGAACGACATAAGGTTTCGAGAAAGGTAGGTTGATTGGATTATGGCGAAGTTTTATTGCGATCAAAATTCCTGATAAAATAACTAAAACCTAAATAAAGAGCGATAAAAGCAACAACGAGGTCTATCTTAATTAGTAATCATTAATTACCTGTGTACAGAATAAAAGGCTAAGGAGAAAGCCGCAAACGGCGAAACAGGCCCTAAATATGGTTCTTCTTCTCCGTAGTATAGGAAAGGACTCCTCAAAGATGATACATACTGTCTCCGTAAACGCAAACTGGAATAAAGTATGCAGCATTTTGAATCATAAAGACAGAAGATAAAGTGTCAGAATTCTAAACATTATTTTTAATGTCTGTTCTAAATAAACCTCAACAAAGGGACATTTGATTCCATTTATAAATGATCATTAGATGTCCGGGGTCTGCTATATATAACCCAAGTATGATAAACCGATACCAAAAGTGAAAGCAGAGGGGTGATTGGTTTGGAGTCTATTCTTTTGAAAATAAGAGAATTGTATATTTCGCGACAGGAAAAAAATCTTTAAAACAATACACAATGGAGATGCATTTCAATGACAGACAGACTGGCACCTTCGTACGGTATGTGAAAGAATGTATGCTTAGTCTGCGAACAAAACTGTGGACGGACAGATAAACCGGACGGAATGCAGACGTATTGTCCTGTTAGATCTTAATCTTAACTAGGAATAACAATTAAGTACTACATCAACATGTAACCTACACGTTGTAGATATATCGTTCTGATCACTGAACTACTTCAACCTCTCTCTCAATGTTGTGTTAGTTTGACTATACCTGACTATCCAGTCCGACTGTGAACATGGCGAGAAAGAAAAGGACAGCCCAGAAATTTGGGAATGGCATCTGTGACAGAGCTTCAGGATAAGCCACAAAGCCAAGACCAGGACCTATGAAGGATACAATATTATTCTTTATGTATCATAAAACCTTCTTCCGAAATAATATTTTTTTTATCTTTTATTCAGAAATACCATTTCTCCAATAGTCTTCTTCATATGAAGCCATTCTTTCATGCAGTTGGTATGATTGCGTCTATCAAGAGAATGACGAACACAGATGCCAGTGTATGGTTGCAAACCACTGCAGTGACTACAATGTCCAATAAAATGATTTCGTATTGATGACATATCTGATAGGTAGGATGGCAAGACTTCTCATTCACAAAAAAACTCTTTCAGTCTTATAGACTTATAATTATTCTACAGCAAGGAACTCATCACAGCAGGCATGATGCATTAAACACCGTGCAAAGTTATTCAAGCTTGATTCAGTACTAAAGACCATGTAAAACCAATGGAAGTCCACTACGAAAGATTATACAATAATATGAATGTGAATGGCACATTTCAATACAAAACTTAAATACATAATAGGTACAGGTAGCTGTTTAATTAACTGTACAATACTAGGATAATAATCATCCGAAGCTAAAACCCTAAGAGGAGAATGAGGAACACAAAATGTGAAAAAGGGTCAAAATGTAGATGTCCTTGGCCTTATATTTCAAACAAACTGTAATTTTCATATGTTTGATGATTACAAAAGAACGTAAACTGCAAGTGTATGTTGTTGGTCTGTTGTGTTTATACCCCCTTGATCAGCCACACTTTTGCATAGAGGGAGTCGCGCAGTTGTTAACTACCCTATCTCATGAGAAATCTAAGTGAAATGCGAATGTATATTCTGTTCAGTGAAACTATCTAAAATAAAAAATATTGTCATGATTGTCACGTCAAACCTTGAGGACAAAAACTTCTAGCAGTGTCTAAAGCCTGCAATCTAGAATATTGTATAAAAGTGATGAATAGTGATGAATTTCCATAAAAATATATTGCTAGATACAGCAGAGCAGAAAATGAATTAAAATGCGTCATACCTGTTCAATGGCATGCATATATGCATATATTGCAAATATAATATTGTAGTTTACTGTATCAGTAGGACTCGGTTGAGTGGTTATCTGTAACACGAGTAAGCGATCAGATATTCCGATCTATTTTGTACATCACGTACCAGACTTTGACACGTCTTCAATAGGTAAATTAGCCTTATGAGCCATGAATCCGAGTGCAGAAAAGATGACAAAACCAGCAAATAAACTTGTCCCCTCTCCCGCTAGGGTCACCAGGAACGCGTCTCTGTAACAAAACATAACCTGGAAGTACCATCATGTCGACGTAATCATGATCCAAACTCAAATTCAATAAAACAAGGGCAAGATATGAAAAAACGAAAAATTTACACTTCTTACAAAGTACAAGGAGAATAAGACCAGGTGTCTCGGAAGATTAAGCGTCTTCAACAATATATAAATTCAAAACAGAAATAATAAAATACAGCATAGTCCCTTATAAAAGGTCTATGTTGCTTGTGAAGACACGCTTAATTTTTTATTTGATATCTGATACACAACATGAATTATCCTTTAACATATAGGTAACCGGAACAAATAAATACTATATCTCATCTTTTATCTTACCTGTAACAGTTGTTGTTGAATTTGTTAAAACTAGAAAGTGTGATGAGGACTCCCCATCCCATGGCGACAGAGTAGAACACCTGGATGGCCGCCTCCAGCCACACCTATTATAAGAATGGTCTGATACTCATCCAATCATCTACTGACACAATGTTTTCATGATGTCATATGTAGCTCAGGCAAACATTGGGATTTGTGAAATGTCATTTAGTTTCCCATTCATATATGTGTGAAGGATTCTAAAAATCTACACTGTTTAACCTACTGTCATATTTAACATTTTAGATCTCCAAGGAGCGGTAGGACTGGATGGACGTTTTTGTCGGAAGTATGATATTTTGTGGAAACTAATTCTCATCAATTGTACAACTTTTGAGCTGCGCAGAAGATACAGAATTGTGTTTATCTCAACTAGAAACTAAAGGAAAGTTTAAGTTTTTCCCCCGAACATTTTGTTAAAATGCGACATCACGGGTACTTGGCTAGCGGTAGATCATATTACATCACTGGCCTACTCACGCTGTCGTCTGGTGTATTTGGCAGGCGGCTTGTCATAGGTTTTCACCTGGCCCCTAAATTAGGGTTAAAGATAATTTCGAAACCTCATGGTGTGATTTATAATATTACTGAATAAGATTAGTATGTACTTATTAGCATAAAGATGGTGAGGTGGTGTGTGTCGGTGTGTGTTGGTGCGTGGATGCGAGATGTATCTTTATTTGAAAGTAAATAATGAATCATAACATATATGTGTGTCCTAGGGCGTATTGACCAATATTAGTTAACTTTAGATTAGAATTAAAATGTATCTTTTCATAAATGATAATTTCTCTATAATTCTAGCTAACAAAATTGTTTGGAGTCTGGAAAAACGTACATGTAATAAAACATTTCTTGTCAGGACTGTGAAAAAAGTACAAAGTGAATAAGACCATGTGTTCCGGAAGAGTTAGCGTCTTCTGCTTCATCGACGCCACCCGCCATGAAAATCTAGGTCAATCAAATTAATGTCAGGCCCTCAAATGAAAACAAGATACACAAGTATACAATAATGGAACCAACAGATGAACTATCGAGTATCAACAATAATATACAAACAACGTCTGTAAAACCTACCGTCCAGAGAGCTAAGCATTATTCTCTTTATACCTACATAATTACACAGTTATTATGTAAATCAGGCGTTCATGTAGGAATATGAACCGACGAGTGTATGAATACAAACTTGAGATTTATGTTCATGAATATAAACGTGAGATTTATGTGTATGAATGATATATATATAAAGATTGCACAAAGTACATGTAACTTAATAGCATCATAAAATGTAGAGTAAGAAACGATTAGAACCAAACAAGCAACAAGTCTACAGCATACAGGCGCTTCGTCCATCTCGCCACTGATGCCAAGTGTCCAAATTGGAAGCCAATGTTGCGACTGAATAAATTGAAAATGATTGAAAGAAATGTCAAAATCCAGATGAGGAGGTGCAGTAGCCACCAAGTTCACAATTTTTCTTTATCCGATAATTTCATGAGAAGTACATCTAGATATTCTGAACCGTTCCACTATTCGAATGAATTAAAACGTGGCATGAAGGTTACGGCAAATGCATGTACCACACTTTAACGTGTGTTTGACGAAAACGAGCTACCTTGTTATAAGAAAATTAAAAAGACACTACTATCAATATAATTTTCAATTACAAACCAGTGTCTGAACAAGGCCGTCGTTGTCGCCAAGCTCTCATCACACATCTGGCTGAAGACAATCCGTATCCTTATTTACAACGTAGCTGGCCGGACGTATTAATTATGTCTCAGAGTTCCCCCATTTAAACAAAAAAGCCTGAATGGAGACATGATATCTACACTGACCGCATCATTTCAAATCCAGCGGACATGTCTCCGCAATGTGTCGAGGTCGTTTAAAATCATGAAAATTCTCGGTGTAGTTTTACCACATTTTAACGAAAATACAAAAAATGAAATTAGATCATTACTTTTTCTTGATTAACATTTTTATGATAACTCCGTTTCATCCAGGAAAAGTGAGGGATAAGTTTCTGGCGCGGGAAAGAATGAGCACGCTATGGAATATTTAGACGACTCAATATTTCCTGATTTTTTGCTATTTTTTATTCTATTTTATGTCGCAATTAATGTTTCGCATAAGATAACGCACGGGAATGTAGATATATACAATATCAATACTTCTACAACAACATGGAAGTTAACTGCGCTTCGTGCTATTTTCCGGTAAAGCAATAGATATTCTTATTACTTGTATCCCAAATCCGAATGCTCTTAACTCAAGTGCTTAATTGATTACGTCATTTACCCTTTTCACACTTTCACAACGAAATGACGTCAGTATATGATAAAGCATTGTAATAGGTATTTGTACATTATGTTACACGAAATCAACTAATATCTACTTAACATCACATTACATTTTTTTCGTTCTATTTTGGTTTACCGTTATATCAATAACACTATTACTATGATATCAGTATTATACTGTACGAAGCTCACATAAGTCACAACGTTAGAGTTAGAGACTTTATATCTGTCCGTTCCGTGAATATGAATTAATTTTCTAAAAACTGTATAATAAAGCATTTAGTATATCTCCTTAAATCTTAAATGTCGTTTACAATTGCTTAACGACTTTCTTTCTAATTCCACGTTACGTTATATACATCACAATAGAATAGGGCTGTTATCATACCCTTACTGAGTTGAGCGCAGTGTACGTGGATTGTATTCATTGTCGACCCACGCCTACGTCCGCTGCTCAAAGCTTTCGTACAAGTTATAACATGATAGCATACACAAAGCTTACTTACAACGTCACAATTTCATTGAAAAAAAATTTTTTTCAAAAAATTCGTTTTCAATTAAAGGTGACGAGGCAAGTTAAAAAGATATCCATTCTAGTTTTAAAAATGCTTTAGAGATGCTCCTATGATAACGAGAGCTTCCTGTCATCGTATCGTCTGTCAGACTGGAGACCTTCATCCACAGGAATGTTCGTCCACAAATCAAAGCAAGGTTTAGACTAAACCGTTTGTCTTTTCCTTAGACACATTGACAGGAATATATCGTTAGCTTAGATAGATGGTCTCAAAGCATTCTAGAACAATAAATAAATAGATAAATCAACATATGGGTTATTTTACTTGCTTGCTGTAAGATTTATTTGTCCTTTTAAGTTGTTCTTTTACCTGTATATTCATCAGTGATGCGAAGTCTGGCTTTACATAGAATATAATTCCATCAATGGCACCAGGTAGTGTGAGACTGCGGACAAGGATAACAGTGAGGAGAATATATGGAAGCGTGGCAGTCACATATACCACCTGTAACGGAAACGGAAGTATGAGACTGGTCAAATGAATCGATTTGGAAGCGAAGCTGTCACAAAAACCATTTTAATATGAAACAGAAATAACCACACTGAAAACATGAGACTGCCAAATACATCATTTGTAACGTTAATAGATCATTTAAGTTGGAGACCAGTGCCTTTGAAGAATAGAAACTGATATCAGTTACGTACATTGTTATAGGTATGTACGATAAACAATTAAAAGATCAAACAAAGACGTTCATCTTGTATAGAATCTATGGGTTGTAAACTTGAACATGTCTGTTGGTAGAGATGCAACATGTAATAGATAGACATTACATTACTGTTCTTTTGTTTTCATATAATGCTTCAGACTTCAGACTAATGGTACATAAATATTAATGTTTCTTACCTTCCCCGTGGATTTTATACCCCTGATGACACAAAAGTAGACGACGATCCAGGATATTAATAGACACAAGGCCAGGTGACCCTGAACAGAACCAATGTCATCAAAACCAGAGGATATGTCCAACACCTTGTATCTGATCAACAGAAAGTCTTCAGAACTAGGCGTGCTAAATACAACTCGACAATTAATATCATTACCAATACCACATCAAACAACCATGAAGACAATGAATAAGATAATACAATTATCGATATGATTTATAAAATACTAATCATACAGAAATAATCGATATCGGAAATCCGAATGAAATGTAAAGATATTACTTGGCCCAAGATAAATTCTCCAATATGGCACTCGTTAATGATAAAGTACGAAGCAAAACCCTGTCGATTAGCATTTATTCCGTTGAGTATGCTATTTTCGTAATTTGGTAACTGAGTGTTTTCTCGAATTAAAGCTGCTAGCGATGTGTTTGTTCACATGGACAAAAGCAGTATTGGTAAGGGCAAACATAATATAGACCTTATGTTGGAGATCATTCGCTTAATAAATACACAAATACCCTAGATTATTGTATGCTGATAACACAGTATGAGTGTAAGAAAATAAAGAAAAACAATATAGACTTGAGTTAAGCATTGACCTTATAACAATGTTTTTTTTTATTTTATGATATCACACTGTTAAGTGAATAATGACGTGTGCTTCTTTTTATGGAACAAACAGGATTTATGTTATTCATATAAAAATATCCATAATAGGGGCAAAAAAATGTAGAACACGCATACATTTAATCTTGTTTTTTATTATCTATTGACAGAAGGATCCTACTACGTGTGAAGCAGCTCCCCTGAGTAGTTAGTCTAGAATCATTATTCTTGTCGAGAAATCTAATAATGAAGAACGATTGGCCTAGCTCGATTCGTGTACTGGGCAGAACATTAGCACCAGCCACCAATCAGTCACACAGTGTTAGTATGATACTGCTATTACACATAGAAATCCATGTGTCACTTGTGTATCAAAACGGAGGGTGTATGCCAAACTTACTATTTACTAAGAGGATACAGTATGATATGTTTTTATGTTTTGGTATCATTGTAGTTGTACTGGGAACAAATATTGTATTAAAGACAAGGAGTCCTGATTAGGATGGGTATTAATTATCTTAGATATCAAATACAAATGTCAGTAGAACATATATAAGAGAAATGTGCGTTGTTATCCTTAAAATTACACTACTCACAAAATTATAGCACTTTTCAAGAAAACTTGATAAAGGTTGTAAGCTTCGAACTAACACTGGTCGACACTCTCTGCTGTGTCTACCGCCAATCAACCCTTTCCAGCATCGCGCATGCGCAAAAACATTGTTTCCACTCTGTTAACGATAACGATATTATAAAGAAGCGTTGTTCCTATTTTTCACATTGTCATAACAATGGTTATGCAAACATTTCAATGTTATAATTAATAAAAAAAATCTTTTGAAAGATTCAAATGTTATAATGTTTTTTATCAGTTAAGAAATAAATATCAAACCATTAAAAGGAGTTTAATAAGAATGTTTATCGCTGTTGATGACCTATTATTTCTGAACGGCAACATGATATGTCTGCTTCCCCAATTTATGCTGTCTTCAAAACGTCACGATTGTTCTGCAACTGACAGATAAATTCACAACACAAAGTGTCAAGAAGGCAGAGGGATAAAGATCATGGCGAAGTTTTATTGTCGTCTTAATCATTTCGTTATTGCGATATGAGGTTGGCCGTGGACGATGCATGTTGGTGTGATGTTCTGTTGTTGTTATCCTCGTTCACATTAGGACACGTGACATTTCTTTCTTTGATTGACTAAGCTTTACACGATGTGTCGTCGACGAAGCTTAACAATCCAGAGTACCTGGTCTCAGTATCCTTGTACGTTTTCAGGGTAATCAATCTTTCTTTTTTCAAATTTTATCTATCTTTCCTGAAATTGAAGATTCTGTTGACATTTTGATATTTTCTTTGTCATTATAGAAATTTTACTGATAAGATGTCAGTTAGTCAACAGGTCGACCTTCTCTATGCATGTTTCTGGTTAAATAAAACTGATGTTTGGTATCTACAGCACATGAAATGCCAATATATAACGTCCGAATACTGAAAAGTGTCATTAATGTCGACTTTTATTGTCTTACGGGAAAAAAAGTAAGAAAAGGCAAGATTTGAGGTCAGAGATTTCCTTTGATTCGTGATATAAGCATCATAATTATCAGGCTAAGGAATCTTAACAGTGTGCAGTGTGCTATTCATAGTGTTTTGCACAATCAGCTGATAAGGGATTCAAAGAATGCATAGAAATACAATTAATCTGATAAAAACATCTTGAAATACATATAATACTTAATGAAAAGACCGGCAGATTGTTTTGTCTAGCAATGTTCTTCGTCAGTGATACTATGGTGGTACTGTTAAGAAGCATTTAAGTAACTTACTGCCAGAATTCTTCCTCCGAACTGTGACCTGTTTTGATGACGTGTAAAGACATATTAACACCACTGTGAACAGAGGTTAGGTTATCGGAAACGTTAACGGAGGTGGTCGTGTTTCCTTGTGAATTGTTATACATGGACAGGAAAGGCTGAGTGAAGCTGAAACAGTCGGGCGTGTTCCACTCATTACCGCAAGTGCTCCATGGAAGAGGTGAGTAGAAGGATTGATACAGGTAATATATTACCCAGGAGGTCAGCATCACATAGTACCACACACACGCCATCATCATCAACAGCAGTCCCAGGCCCTCCCCTGTAAACATAAACAATAATTCATTATCACACCTGAGATACGTGAAACACACCGTCATCAAACCTTGGATATGTTTAACATATCGTCATCAAACCTTGGATATGTTTAACATATCGTCATCAAACCTTGGATAAGTTAAAACATCTTCATCAAACCTTGGATATGCTAAACATATCGTCATCAAACCCTGGATAAGTTAAAACATCTTCATCAAACCTTGGATATGCTAAACATATCGTCATCAAACCCTGGATAAGTTAAAACTTCTTCATCAAACCTTGGATATGCTAAACATACCGTCATCAAACCTTGGACATGCTAAACACACCGTCATCAAGCCTTGGATATGCTAAACACACCGTCATCAAACCTTGGATATGCTAAACATATCGTCATCAAACCTTGGATAAGTTAAAACATCTTCATCAAACCTTTGATATGTTTAACATATCTTCATCGAACTAGGAACAGTAGCACGGCACAATTTGTTTCATTACCTTTTAGCGATGGATAGTAGTACCACACAATTTGTGTCATTACCTTTGATCAATGGACAGTAGCACCACACAATTTGTGTCATTACCTTTGATCAATGGACAGTAGCACCACACATTTTGTGTCATTACCTTTGATCAATGGACAGTAGCACCACATATTTTTGTCATTACCTTTGATCAATGGAAAGTAGCACCACACATTTTTTTCATTACCTTTGATCAATGGACAGTAGCACCATACATGTTGTGCCATTACCTTTGATCAATGGACAGTAGCACCACACATTCTGTGTCATTACCTTTGATCAATGGACAGTAACACCACACATTTCGCATTGTTTTTCCGGAGAATTGTCCGAGAGATGCTTCTAAGAAGTACATAGGCACTGCCAGCAGAAAGATCGTAATCAGGTATGGAATGATGAATGCACCTGTTGAATAAATCATCATCATCATCATCACCATCATCATCATCTAACAAACAAACAAATAAAAATTTGATAGTAAGTTAACTTGATTTCTGTGCATAAGACCATTGATGATGGACAAAGACTTTTCTCATTTGACCCTCATTTGAGGGTGGAATGACATTTGTGCTTACAACTTTAGATAAACCAAAATACGCTGTCAAACATTTGATATAGTGCCGTAAAAGGACTCGTGTCAATAATCCAATAAATCGCATTATATGTAGCATAGATATTCCTATCAACGTAAACTTTTTTAAAGCATTAAGTGCCCATATGGAATACAAATAAATAAACAGTGACTTTTTAAAATATAATTGTTAAGTTAAAGCATAACTATTTGTTTGCAGAGACACAATTTTCCTTTAAATTCTATATATTTAAGGGTAACATATTCCCCATAAAGTGCCTCTTTACCCTCTTGGAACCCCTTCGCGTTTAATAATATTCATTGGCTGATATGTCTTTATTGTCATCTGTTTTACTAACAACTTTAAACTGCATCCTCAAAAACTGAAGTGCCGCCATCTTTACCACAGCATTTTGAGCAAAATGTCTTTCATTTTCATTCATTTCAAATCCCATCCTACATCCCATCTTTGTTAATGTGGTACTGTTTTAGCCTGGTCGTATTTCTGTCTAATCCCCTCCTTATTTTGTAAATTGTTCATGGTGATTTTGTAATTGTCATTTAATACTGGTTTTCCAATGACGTTTTGATCAGCTGCTAGGAAGGCGTTTTACATAAAGTTACTTGTTAAATCTTATTTGTTGCATGCATTTAAACATTAACATATTAACATTTTGATGTATGTGATATTTGGCAGATGTAGAAAGTTAGACTTGTTCCATCAGTATCTGTCTAATGATAACATAAACATAGTATTTATAAAATCACCGATATCTTGATTCTGGGTACGACAACAATTCAACTTGAAATACAACACATGGTATTCGAATTTTGTTTGAAAGCGAAACGACATAGTAATTAATACTATACATAGTATACATCACAAGGATAGTATGTCATCTTTTCCTACAACGAAACCAACATGGACATAAAGTTATATGATAAGCGTGATGATTTCAATTTCCCTATTGTGAATTTTCCATTTCTGGAAAGCAATATTCCAGCATCTCTAATCTATGGTATTTACATGTCACAGTTGATTCGATGTTCAAGGGCCTGTGCCCACCGTCACGATTTTCGTGCAAGAAGCCGTCGACAAGCGATGCTGGTTGATGAAAATTGAGGAGTCGTTTATGGTCGCCAAGGTGATCATAGTGATCTCATTGTGCGACAAGAAGCGGGACGTATACTCGTTAGATTGTCTGTTGGTCCTGTTGTCGTATAACGTGTTCTTATTTGAGAATGTGACATATTTTACTTAGATTGATCAAAGTTTACATGTCAGGTGTCGTCGATGAAACAGAAAACGTTTACTTTTCCGGAACACCTGGTCTTATTCTCCTTGTACTTTTTCAGGAGTTTCCGTTATCTCCATGGTAAATACTCATCCATATAAACTCAAGGGATGCAGAAACGCAGTGACATTATTTGCAATATCTTGCGAACGCGTTGTTCAAAAACAATAAAAATCGGTCAAGCAACTATATATATTGCACATTTAACAGATATAGAAAACGTGAACAGTGACCTGTTTGATTTTTATTATAACATTTTAAAATCGTGGGTTAAGATTAAAGGTTCAATTAAAGTAAAAAACAGTTATAGAGATAAAGGAAACTCTATTGTATGGGGTAACGGAGATATACGCATACGGAAATCACTAATAAACAAAACTTGGACGGACTTGGCATAGTTTTTGTAGAAGATATAATAAACAAGGACAAATTGACGTAAATATCATTTACAAGAAACTAAAAGATAAACGAAATTGGATTGTGGAAACAACAAGGGTGAAGAAAGCAATACCAAAAAAATGGAAAGAAATATGGCTATCTGAACAATCGCGTTAAACAAAACTTAAATTGGATAAACGAATAACGATAAACATGAGGGGAACAAAAGTCAATTTGTTTTATTTGAAAAACAAAGATTTATACAATAAGGCCGTAAAAAAGAAATTTTTAAAAACCTACTGCTTGAATATGTGGAAAGAAAAGTTTAGGCCGGAGAAAACTGAAATACACAAATATGTTCTTGATTTTAATTTTAATACAATGAAGGATAACCGTTATAAAGTATTTAAATGGAAACTTTTTCATTACATTATACCTTGCAATGTTTTGTTGAAAAGATGGAAAATAGCAAAAAAATAATGTATGTAAGTTCTGTAATGTTACTGAAGATTATAACCACTATTTTATTGAATGCGAATACTTTAAAGATCTATGGGATTTTGCTATAAAAATATTTGAAAAATTTGGTTATAGAACTGATATGAAGAAATTGAAATATATATGGATACAAGATATACCAAAAGAACTGTACTGAAATCAATACAATATTATGTTTAATAGGTTTTACAATATATAAAGTTTACCATTTAAGCGAACAAAAGCAAAAAATAATAAATGTGAAGGACATATTTAAGAATTAATTAAAAAATATGCAAATAATTTATAAGAGTAAAAAACCTAATATGCTCAACTCATTACTAGACAACCTGGACCATTGATATGTTTTAGGTATGTAACATAAAAATGGCATGTACAATAGAAAACAAGGTGATAATAAAATAATTATTGAACAGATAAAAGAAAAAAGCACAATGATAAGACAAAATGATAGAGTATGATTCAGCAACAGAAAAATACATGTATGTGTATAAGAGTTTAATATAAAACATCTGATTATGAAAAGAAAAAGACATATACTTAAATACTTGTTTGTGCGTGAAAATTGAAATGTATGTGTGAGTCGACGTTTATTTATATTATGTATGGTATGCATATATGAATATACACCTTTATTTACGTAATGGAAAATCTATATATGATTATATTTTGCAAATATGATCACCCCTTTTCTTTTTTCCTTTTTTTTTCATCTTTCCTTTTTTCATCTTTCCTTTTAAATCTTTCTTTAATCGAACATATTCAAACATATTGATTCGGATCTTATACCATGCTATCTTGTCAAAGTTAAACAAATATAGAAACATATATAGTTTAAGGTTTTTGTTGAGTCGATTGAAAAACAAAACAAGGCTGATGTGCTGATAAAGAAAGTAAGTATGAGCGAGTCTGTGAATGAGTAAGAGTGTTCATTTGCTTAATTACAAAATAGATACCTTGAATGTTAATAAATGTAAAAACAATACAAAGGTTATGACATGTACAACCTTTTCTCAGACGCGGTCTGTTAACAAAGTTTGGATAATTGATTTAAAAACAAAATAAGACTGCTATAAATATACTGATAAGGAATGTATGTATGAGCGAGTATATGCGCACTTCTACAAAATCGTTGAATGGAAATTGGTATGAAAAAGTGTGAGTGTACAAGTCTGGAGAGAAAACACATGAACCACATTGTTGAAGTAAACATTGCTGAAATCAGTATCTTGTTCTCTGAGTGCAAAGAAAAAAAAAGGTAGTCGTTATAGAGACACATCATTTTATGATATTTTTAAAATTAATTTCTGATAGCATTAAACAATGACACGACTGACGGAAGTACAGATTATGCAAGGTCAACGGCAGCACATTTCAACTATGCGGGTTGCTGACAGACCGAGGTCTGAGAGTCCGCGGGTGACGTCACAACGTTAACACAGATTTATTTGTCTCGCGCATTTGCGCAATCGGCAACTTACTGCCACTGAATCTGGATTTCTTTCGTCTCTCGAGGTTGTAGTAGACACTGCTGGTGGACTTTATGTCCACTAGGTTTGCCGTAACATGCATGCTATTTTTAAGTTCAATAGAATAGTGACGCGATTCTGAATATGCACATATATGGCTGTCTTTAAAATCATTTGTTGTATAAAATTACAAGATTTATTGAATGACGGGGCTGCCGCTCCTCACCGATTGGATTTTGACTATTTTTCCAATCACTTTGGATTTTTCTTCTAGGATTAAAAATCTTAGACCATTATTATCACTGACGAGTCTTAGAAGGACAAAACAGCTGTATGATGTAACATCACTGACGAGTCTTAGAAGGACGAAACAACTGTATGATGTAACATCACTGACGAGTCTTAGAAGGACGAAACAGCTGTATGATGTAACATCACTGACAAGTCTTAGAAGGACGAAACAACTGTATGATGTAGCATCACTGACGAGTCTTAGAAGGACGAAACAACTGTATGATGCAGTTTAATTAATTGTTTGGCTCTACTGTATCTAACACTAAATTTGTATATAAAGATGCTGTCCACTTGTGAGTCTTTTTCACAATCGTTGTATACAAAAAGTCCAAATATTGCAAGTAATCAGTGGTATTTTAGTAGATACTGTTAATTTCTTCAAAGTCAATATCCTTAAGTGCGTGTTGCCCTAGAGTTTCTCCGATACACAGGTTTTGTCCCATGCCACATGTCACATAAAACACTCGAATACCGTGAATAATCCGGACTATATTAAACAGTTTTAACGATGTATACATCACTGTACCCCGTTTGTATACGGATGTGATCTTAACATTCACAATGGAATGGCTGTCAATGTGAAATATTTTTGATTTCATTATTAGAAACATTTTCTGTAAACTCGTGTCCTCGTATCAGTTACTATTCCATTACATCTAAGTACGTTTTCTTCTTTAACGTCATTCAAGGCTTATGTTAGCATTTTTCAAATCAGCAGTATTTCTCTGCGGGGTCAATACCCATGATGTAACCATCTATAAAATTGTTACATTATCCATATTTCTATCAAACCTCAATTTCAATGAACACGTATTTAGGTTCTTAACATTAGCTTACCTCGTTCGTATTGTAACATTTGTGACAGAAGGAAGAATATATTTCCCCCAGATGATGTAGAGG